GCTGCCTCCCAGGCACCAGGGCCCCAAGATGCCCCAAGCCTGCCGGGCCAGCGCCGGGAGGGCCTGCAGGAGGCCACGCTGGGCACTGGGCTGCAGGTTCGAGTCTGCTGCGCCGAGCGGTTCCTGCCCGTCTCGCTAGGCCCGCCGGCTGAGTCTCACTCCCTCCCGCTTTGGGGCTGCTGGGTGTAGAGATCCTATCAGACTTGAGGTTCAGTGACTAATTCCCTGGCACCCGCCTCAGATGGTTAAAGAATGTGGGCAAGTTAAAATCTGAACCGTGTTGTCGTGGGGCTGCCTCTTGTTTCTCCCGAACAGGGTGGCAGGGTGGGGAGGACAGGCCTAGAGCCCCCCGAGGGCTGTCCCCGCTCAGGGAGGCGACGCTCTGGGCAGCCAGGGCCCCACCTAGCAGCGCCTCAGCCCTGACCCTGAGAGGAGACCATGCACCCTGGGGGAGGGGCAGGCTGGGCTGCCCCCCCACCCTGGGACCACCAGCTGTCAGCCTCGTGGGAGTGCGAGGGGCCACTTCCACCAGGTCCGCAGTCCAGTCATTTGTACGGGGGGGGGGGGGCAGTCCTGTGCTGTCACACAGCTTCCCCCTTCCTTCCTCCTTCCTCCTTACTTCCTCCTCCTTCCTCCTTCCCCTTCCTACTTCCTTCCTCCTTCCTTCCTCCTCCTTCCTCCTTCCCCCTTCCTTCCTCCTTCCTTCCACCTTCCTCTGCCCCCTTCCCTTCCTTCCTCCTCCTCCTTCCCCCTTCTTCCTCCTCCTTCCTCCTTCCTCCTTCCTTCTCCTCCTTCCTTCCTCCCTTCCTCCTCCTTCCTCCTTCCTTCCTCCTCCTTCCTCCTTCCCCCTTCCTTCCTCCTTCCTCCTTCCTTACTCCTCCTTCCTCCTTCACCCTTCCTTCCTCCTTCCTCCTTCCTCCTTCCTCCTTCCTTCCTCCTTCCTCCTCCTCCTTCCTCCTTCCTTCCTCCTTCCTCCTTCCCCCTTCCTTCCTCCTTCCTCCTTCCTCCTTCCTCCTTCCTCCTTCCCCCTTCCCCCTTCCTTCCTCCTTCCTCCTTCCTTCCTCCGTCCTTCGTCCTTCCTTCCGTCCTTCCCTCCTCCTTCCTTCCCTCTTCCTTCCTTCCTTCCTTCCTCCTTCCTTCCTTCCCTCCCTCCTTCCCTTCTCTCTTCCTCCCTCTTCCTTCCTTCCGTCCTCCTTCCTTCCTTCCTCCCTCCTTCCCTCTTCCTTCCTTTCTCCTTCCCCCTTCCTTCCTCCTTCCTCCTTCCTTCCTCTTCTCCTCTTTTCCCCTTCCTCCTCCTTCCTCCCCCTTCCCACTTCCCCCTTCCCCCTTCCTCCTTCCTCCTTCCTATTCCTTCCTCCTTCCTCCTTCCCTCTCCTCCTCCTCCTTCCCCCTTCCTTCCTCCTTCCCCCTTCCTCCTTCCTCCTTCCCCCTTCCTTCCTCCTTCCTCCTTCCTCCTTCCTTCTCCTTCCTTCCTCCTTCCTCCTTCCTCCTTCCTTCCCTCCTCCTTCCTTCCTCCTTCCTTCCTCTCCTTCTCCTTCCCCCTTCCTTCCTTCCTCCTTCCCCCTTCCTTCCTCTCCTTCCTCCTCCCTCCTTCCTTCCTCCCTCCCTCCCTCCTTCCTTCCTCCCTTCCTCCTTCCCCCTTCCTTCCTCCTTCCCCCTTCCTCCTTCCTCCTTCCCCCTTCCTTCCTCCTTCCTCCTTCCTCCTTCCTTCCTCCTCCTTCCTCCTTCCCCCTTCCTTCCTCCTTCCCCCTTCCTCCTTCCTCCTTCCCCCTTCCTTCCTCCTGCCTCCTTCCTCCTTCCTTCCTCCTCTCTTCCTCCTTCCTCCTCCTTCCTTCCTCCTCCTTCCTCCTTCCCCCTTCCTTCCTCCTTCCCCTTCCTCCTTCCTCCTTCCCCCTTCCTTCCTCCTTCCTCCTTCCCCCTTCCTTCCTTCCTTCCCTCCTCCTTCCTTCCTTCCTTCCTCCCCTTCCTCCTCCTTCCTTCCTCCTTCCTCCTTCCTTCTCTCTTCCTTCCTCCTTCCTCCTTCCTTCTCTCTTCCTTCCCTCTTCCTTCCTTCCTTCCTCCTTCCTTCCTTCTCTCTTCCTTCCCTCTTCCTTCCTTCCCTCCCTCCTTCCCCCTTCCTTCCTTCCTTCCTTCCTTCCTTCCCTCCTTCCTTCCTTCCCTTCCTCCTTCCCTCTTCCTTCCTTCCTTCCTTCCTTCCTTCCTTCCTTCTCTCTTCCTTCCCTCTTCCTTCCTTCCTTCCTTCCTTCCTTCCTTCCTTCCCTCTTCTTCCCTTCCTTCCTTCCTTCCTTCCTTCCTTCCTTCCTTCCTTCCTTCTCTCTTCCTTCCTTCCTTCCTTCCTTCCTTCCTTCCTTCCTTCCTTCCTTCCTTTCTTCCTTTCTCCTTCCTTCCCTCTTCCTTCCTCCTTCCTTCCTTCCTTCCTTCCTTCCTTCCTTCCTTCCTTCCTTCCTCCTTCCTTCCTTCCGTGCCCACTAGTGCCCCCGAGCGAGCACTGTGTGATGAGAAAGGCCCTCCGTGCCCCCAGGGAGGTGCTCAGAGCAGTGGCCGTGCAGTAGCCCAGGTCCACGTTGGCCGCCAGACCCCCTGAGACCCCGTCCGGTCCATCCGCACAAACGGGGTCGGAGCCTCATATGTAGTTCTGCGTTTCCCAGCAGCCACATTCAGAGAGGGCAAAAGGGGCCGGTGGAAATGATGGACTTGTGTCCCAGACTCTGCTGGCCTCAGTGTGTGACCAGATGAAACGGTGAAGCAGAGGTTTTTCTTTTACAATCTTTTCATGGCGGTGAGGCCTCGGCGCGGGGGCGCCCTCCCGCCCCCCTACAGCTCCATTGACGCTGGCCACCCGGCTAGAGGCTGCAGAGGGGACGGCCCAGCGTGGGGCAGCTCAGTGCCGGCGTCCGGCTGGGCAGACGGAAACCACAGGCTCCCAGACGCAGCGCACCCCCACTCGGGGTCGGGCGAGGGCACCGGGGCCCAGCCTGTCTCCTGGGGGTGCCTGTCCCCCCTCACGGCCGTGCTGGCTGGGGAGGTGAGGCTCGGCCTCTGCCTCGTGGTCAGTGGCTTCACTGAGCCGTAGTTTACGTTACACACCGCTCGCCCATTTCAAGTGCGTTGTTCCCGGATCCGTGTGCCCCTCACTGTGGTCGGTTTCAGGCCGTTTCCGCACCCCCAGAGGAGAGCCCAGCCCCTGGCCATCAGCCGTCCGTCCGTGTGTCTGTGGCCCTGCCCTCCCTGGACCGTGAGCCGCGGAGCCTGAGCCGCGATCCGCCTTCCCTCACTCGGCAGGTCCCGCGTCTCCGCCGCGTCAGAGCGCGTGTCCCCGAACGCCACCCTGCTTGCTTGCCCATTGCCTGCTGGTGGGTGTGGGGCCTCCCCATGTTACAGGTGAAGGCACAGGAAGCCAGGAGGGCTGTGGGGGGCCCACTGGACCGAGGTGGGAGGTGGTCCTGCAGGGGGACCCCACCCCACTGGTAGGCCGGTCCCCGGGTTCACAGTGCCAGGCCAAGATCCACGCTGGGTGGCAGCGGGTCGTGCCGGGAGCCGAGTCATCTGAGAAAAAGCACCTGCCTGGCCTCCGGGTGGCACAGGGTAGTGGTGTTGGTAAGAACCTGTCACCTGCCACCTTGCTCCCCTGTCATCGCCTGAGTCTCCTTCAAAGACGTCAGTGGAGCACGTCCCCCCTGAACACACCCCTCGGGCTGTGCAGCCCCGGCCCCTGGGCTGGAGAAGAGACTGGGGTGCAGGAGGGTGCGAGCCTCTGAGGAAGGGGCCAGGGCAAAGGGGACCCTGCTCTTGCCGCCCATCCTGCCTCTGCCCCTGCCATGGGGCTGTCGGACCCTCTGCCAGCCAGACAAAAGCCCCTCCCCCACCTCACCGTCTCCACTGGCCCCAGGGAGGGCCGGCTGGTCTCTTGTGCTGCCCACCAAGGCCGCTACCTCGCCCCAGGCAGGTCACTGCTGCTCCGGGCCTCAGTTTCCTCATTTGTGAAACACACACTGACAGTGCCCACGCGGGCCGTGGAGGGAGCCTCCAGGCACAGACGGGCTGTCTCTGTCCGCGGTCGGGGGCTGTTCAGGCTGCTGCTGTTCCCTCCTCGCCTGCCCTGCTTGGGGCCTCCAGACCCGGGGCTCCGCGTGGGACCTGGTCTGCTCTGGACTCGGGACAGTGCCATGTGGGCAGCGTCCCCTCCCTCGCTGGGCCCCCCTCAGCTCCTGCTGGGGGCTGATCCGTCCCAGGTCCCTGGACCCCACAGAGGGTGACCCAAGGAACACACCCACACCGCGAAGCTCAGAGCTCCTGTTCCTTTGGTGTGTGGCCAGGGGGAGGGGCTGGGTGCCAGTGCCCAGGTTGGGCAGAGGGTGTGGACCACGGAGAACTCTGCCGGCGGAGAAATGCGGGAGGCAGCCCCCGGACGGAGGCCCTTGGGTAGTGGCTTCTGACTCAGACACTGACCTTCAGCCCCCACCTCAGCCCCAGCCCCTCCATGGCCGGACCTGGGAGCCAGACCCGGTCCCCAGGGCCTCTCAGGCACCCCTGCACCAGAGCTCAGGGTGTCTACCTTGCTTGGCGGGTGTGCCCTCCGTCCCAGCCCCCTGGCTCCCACGGCCTGGTTCCCGGTGGCTGGGGTCTCCCAATGTGAGCTGTAACGGGGACTCGGGGAAGGACGTCAGGGTCGGGGTTGCCCCAGAGGGTCCAGCTGGAGCCCGAGAGGGTGTCGAGGGCTGGCACCCCACCGGCAGCTGCCTCCGGGTCTGCTCCGAGAGCCCAGGAGCCCTGGCACCCAGGAGGCTGATGGAGGGAGGGCGAGGTGAACGTGTCAGTTTATCCTCACACAAGTAGTGACCTGTCAGGGGTGGGGGGGACCGAGAAAATATTTGGGATGACGAGCAGCTGGCCCTTTAAGGCTTCTGTAACAGGACACCTCCCTGCCGGGACGGGACGGGCCGCGCTCTCCAGCCTGACTGTGGGTCCCCCTTCCCGCCTCCCGCCAGGCCCAGTTCAATCTGCTGAGCAGCACCATGGACCAGATGAGCAGCCGGGCGGCCTCGGCCAGCCCCTACACTCCGGAGCACGCGGCCAGCGTGCCCACCCACTCCCCGTACGCACAACCCAGCTCCACCTTCGACACCATGTCGCCTGCGCCCATCATCCCCTCCAACGCCGACTACCCCGGCCCCCACCACTTCGACGTCACCTTCCAGCAGTCCAGCACAGCCAAGTCGGCCACCTGGACGGTGAGTGGCGCCCCGCTCCCGGCGGGCCTCTGTGGGCGCAGGGCAGCAGAGAGGCGTGTTCTGGGCACGAGGGAGGCCGAGCTGCCCGGCTGTCCGGCTGTCCACACAGGGTTCCCACCTGGCCCGTGCCACCCCACCGGGAGGAGCATCGGGCAGGAGGCGTGGCTTGGGGCTGGGCAGTGTGGGTGTACACACCCCTCGGACATGTGGCCAGAGCTGGCCAGCCTCCCACAGGGCCCCGGGGGGGATGGATGAGGCTCCTCAGCAGGGCCAAGGACCAGAGGCTGCCTGCCTTTACCAGGACTGTGGGGCCCACATGCTTGCAGTCAGGTGGGGGCCCTGGTTTGAATCCTCCCCGGGGTGGGCAGGAGGCGTTTGGCTCTGTTGCCTGGAGCCATCGGAGGCCAGGTCCATGGAGGCTGCCTCCGCCAGGCAGGGGGAGGTCGGCCCGGAGCATCTGAGGGCGGCGGGCACGGCTCCGCCTCATGCGTGGCCCCCGCCTGTCACCTCCAAGCACGGGCGTGAGTTGGGGACGTCAGGGAGAACCACGGTGCTGCGGGCTCGAGCTTCGGCCCCGTGGGGACTGTGCCGCCGTGGGTGACAGCTGTGCACCTGTGCCCTGGGCTGAGCGCCTTGAGTCTGCGTTAACTCTTGAGGTCAGCAACCCACGAGGCAGAACCTGCCATCGTCTGGTTCCACAGCCAAGGAAACTGAGGCGCAGGGAGGGAACGTAGCTTGCGCAGTTGTGCGGATGGAAAGCGGGGTTGCGGCGGGGGCGCCAGGGCCTGGGCTCTGGGCTCTGAGCGCCTGACCACAGAGCCGCATCCGCACTGCAGCCGGGAGAGGGGGCTCTGCCCGCTGTGCCCGCTGTGCCCGCTGGTGGACAAAGGCTGGGGGACACCTCCAGGCAGAGCTCAGGTTCACCTGAGGGCAGGGGTGCAAAAGGCAGCCCCAAGGCCCTCTGGGTCTCCTGCCCACCCCCAAAAGGGGGAGAGTGAGCCCTGCCCTGCACCCACCCCGCAGACACCTGGTAGTCCCACGAGCAGCGCCGCCTCCTCCAGGGAGTAGCCTCTGCTTACTCCCACCTGGACATGGGACCTGGATCGGAAAAGTCCTTGCAGGGTGCCTGTGACCTCCCCCAAGGGAGCAGCGGGCAGGTGACCCTGATGTTCTACCTCTGTAAGAGCCCACTGCCCTGTGGCCGAGGCTGTGGTTTCCCCACGCTCCTGGGGTGGGGAGATGATGGAGGTGGGGCGGGGCCACAGGTACCCTGGGTGCAGCTCTGCAGGGGGCCCGTCCGGGGTCTAGATTCCAGACCATGGCCCCCCTGCAGCTGTTTCCAGTCCCTGCTCGGGCCGTGGCCTCCCCAGGTGCCGGCCCCTCGCCGGGTTAGGGTAAGCCCACCGCCACTGGCTGTGGGGGCCGGTTTTCTCATTCACGCTCCTGCTGAGAGTGGCGACAGGGCTTGGAGGAGAGGGGCCAGCGCACAGCGTGGGGCCAGCGCGGGCGGAGCGGGCGGGGGCCTCACGCCGTGTCCCTGGCGGGCAGGTGGTGATGGGGCTGGGAGCCTGGTGTTCCTGCACCTGCAGGAGGGCTGTTTCAGTTCTCTGGTGCCTGTAGGGTGCTGGTCCTCGCACCCCAACTTTGAGGCCTGGCTGCGTGACAGGGGCCCCCCCGTGGCATCCCAAAGTTTCACCTTGTCCGAGGTTTACTGCTCTGATTCTGCCTTCGACTCGCTCCCTAAGCCCTCCCTCGCCGCTGGAAGGGGCAGGGTCCCAGTCCCTCCTGCACGCACCTCTGTCATTGGGGCTGAGCCGCTGGGTGTGGCGGCAGGCCCTGTGGGGGCCCTGATCCCCGCCTGTCCACAGGGTGCCGCTGGGGTCTCTGTGGTATCTGGGAGCTCAGGGTGCCTCCGGTGGCCTGAGCTGGTCCAGGGGGCAGGAGCGGCCTCCCAGCTGGCTGCTGCCCCGTGTCGGCCCTCTGCCCCCCTTCTGGTTGCCCTCTGCCCCCCTTCTGGTTGCCTCCGCCGCCGCCAGGTGCGTGGCCACGGAGCTGGGGGCTATGGCCGGGTCACAGTTCTCTCAGCCTGAGTGTCCGCCTGGGGTGATCTGCCAGGATGGAGGCAGCCCCGCCAGACACACCAGGGGCAGGGGAAGGCTCACCTGTACTCAGAGCCTCTGCCTCCATGGGGCAACCCCCACCCCCACTCCCTAGCTTGGCTCCAGCCCGCCCTCCCTCCTGGGCCCGCTGCTCCAGCAGCCGAGCGGGAGGATGCTGCGCTCCGCCGCCCTGCCGGCCCTCATCCACGCAGGGGCGGGGGCAGCACAAACGTGGATAATGAGATTTTTGGCACCTCGGCTCCCGGGAGCAGACCCCCCACGGGCTCCTTGCCTGGCCCACGGAGGGGGCGGGCGGGCTCACGTGCAGGACAGGACTGCCAGGCCCCCCGCCCGCTCACAGCTCTGGGGGTCTGATCTCGAGGGCGCTGCCCAGACTTGCCGTCCCGGCCTCCGCGCCACGCCAGCCGGCTGGTAACTGATAGATAATTCATATTTTTCTCAAGTACAATTCCAAATGGACTGCTTCCTTCGCTCCTCTTCCCGCTCAGGAAAAACACCCTCACCCGTCCCCAAGTGACCACAGCTGTTAATGGGGTCTTTGGCTTCTGCCTGGCTGGGGCCCCGCGGGTTGCCCCTGCGGGTGGTGTATCTGCCCTGATCAGCTTCCCTTGGTCTCCACACTTCCTGCCTGTGCTCCGGGGGCACCGGGTGCCGGAGCCCTCGGCTCACAGGCCGCACGCGTGGGCACGCATGCAAACACCGCACACGCGTGCACACAGGCAGACGTATACACACACGTGTGCGGGCCTCTTCTGGTCACTGCCCAGGGTTCGGACAAGCCCACTCCCCACGGAGGGCTACGAGGAGGGGGTCTCAGGCCACAGCAGCTGGAGACGGGCTTTGTGCTGACCAGGGACGGGGCCAGGGCCAGGCTGGGGTTTGTGAGGTGGGAGGAGGTGGAGCACCCTGCTGTGCCCCATCCTGGCTGATGCTTGCTGTCTGGGGGACATTTGGGCTCAGGGGAGGCAGACACTGTGCAAGGTCACGGTTTCCTGTGAAGCCCTCAGGAACTGATGTTTCTTGGACCGGTTGGCAGAGGAGCCCGGTGTCTGTGTCTCCATTCCACACCCTCCCCCAGCCCCCCTACGTGTTGGCCGTGATGGGACAGCTGGTGATAGGAGTCCCAAGGGAGAGGAGGAGCCGCTCCATGAGAGGGGTGTCTGGACACCGTCCAGCCTGGCTCAGCCTCTTCCCGCTCCCAGGGCTGTGCTGGGTGTTGAAGAGGTTTGGGGAGGGGGCTCTGAGGTCCAGCAGGAGGCATGGTGTGGTTGGCATCCTAGCCCGGCCTCGGGGGCACCTCTGTGGGGTCGAGTGGCGCAGCAGTGAGGTTTTGCATGCTACAACGGCAAGCCAGTCCCCGGGAGGGGCCAGCCCGGACACAGCCCCTGAATGACCTCAGCTGCACGCGGCGTGTGCGCGTCCATCGGGGCGGTGGAGGCAGCAGGAACACGGGCTCGCGGGAGTCCTGGGTGGAAGGAGGCTGAGTCCACACTCGGGGGCTGGGGAGAAGCTCTCCAGGCCTCGCAGGCAGGGAACTCATCCCGGAGGTGCCCCGACACGACCGCGGTATCAATTGCGTTACCCTCAAAGTTTATGGAATGCGTAAGTGGAATTAATCCCCTCTGCTGGCACCAGCGGCAATTACGCGTAGTTAGGGCCCAGGGAAGCATCCCGGCGGTGCTGATTGTGGAGATGAAACGCGGATTATTGAGGGGAAACAAGAACACTCGGGAGAAATTGCCGAGATTGCTCCCATTGTGTGCGGATGAGCTTCCTGTGGGCGGGCCCTGCCGCCGTACCCCTTCTCTCTCCACCCTCCCTGGCAGCTGGGGGAGCCCTGGCCTGGAGGTCACGGACCTTTCGGCTCCTCCTCACACCCCTGGCTCTTTTTTTTTTTTTTTTTTTTTTTGGTACGTGCCCCTAGCGGGAACCGAACCCGGGACTCCGGTCCACAGGCTAACGCTCCAACTGCTGAGCCAAACCGGCCAGGGCACACCCCCGGCTCTTGCAGGGGACACACAGGGCAGCCCTTGGGAGATAGGAGTCAGTCCCACGGGGGCTGTGGGTGGGCACCTGAGGTTTCGTGGAGAATCACCTCTTTGCTGGGACTTGTCTCCAAGGTGGAGCAAGGCCTGTGGGCCTGGCAGGTGGTCAGTGACACTGAGGGCACCCAGCAGAACCCCACGCCGCAGCCACGTGCTGTAGGCAACTGGGGTTGCCCACTTTCAGGGGTGAGGAAACCGAGGCTCACAGAAGGCAGGTCCCTGCTCAAGGTCACCTGTCAGCCAAGGGTGAGGCCACGTGGCCATCACCACCTGGCCCGGCAGCCACCCCCTCTTCAGGGGTCACCGGTTTAGAAACCAAAACTGCTTTCCCGGGCCCCGCCGGACACATACGAGGCTCAGCGAAACCCGCGGCTGTGTCCAGCTGGAACGGAAAAGGCGCAAAGGGACCGCCCCACACGCGGGCATGCGGCGCCCGGCGCCTCTCCTGCCAGCCGGAGTCGGGCGAAGAGCTGCCACTCGCTGCTTCCGGACGCGGGGCAGGTCCTGACCTGGGGACTAACCTGCCGCTTCTGTGGCGGGCCGGTCAGAGGCGGGAGGGCCCCATGCCCCGGGCTCCCCACTGGAGCCAATGTGACAGTCCTCCCGAGAGGCCCCCCTGAGCACCTGCCAGCTGTGTCCAGAAGATGTGCCAGTCAGAGGGTCCGGGACTGTCCTGCAAGCAGAAGGTGCCCGCGGACCCCAGCGTCCTGCCCAGGTGGGCTGACCCTTGCAATCACCACGGCAGACAGCCAGGCCAGCTCAGAGGACACCAGAGAGGTGGGAGGGGGGCTGGGCTCCTTCCCCCAGCAGGCAAGGGGGCCGGGTCTGCGGACCGAGCTGGCTGGTCGCCAGCCTCCCGCTCCATCCCCAGGCAGGGCAGCCCTGTGGCCTGGCCGGCTGCCCGGCTGCCCGCGGCTGGGTCCCTGCCAGGGCGGTTTCCCCGTGAGGCCCGCGGCGGGCAGCGGCGCCTCCCTTCTCCGGAGGGCTCTGTGGGCTCCCCAGCTGGCAGAGTCAGGAAGGCAGTTCACGGGCAGGGTCAGCCGCGCTTGGACCTGGCTGAAGCTGAGGAGCGTGAGCCCCTGCAGGAGCGCTCGGCTGGCTGCACCCGGGCGGGACAAGCAGACCCAGGGGAGGTCCCAGTGACTCCTGCTCACCAATTTGGGACCTGGCTGGAGGGAATGGGGGGCAGCTGCAGCTCCTGAAGAGCCCCGCCGGCCCAGGCTCGCCTCTCCCCTTCGCCTCTAGGGACTCCCCTGAACAGTGCTCACGGTCACCCAGCACCGGCATGTTTCTGCTTCCTGTCCATCCTCCCCTGGGCTTCTGTGAGGGGACCTGGCCATCGGCCGGTGTGCGGCTCAGTCGATGCTCCTGCCCCACCCCCTGGGGAATCACAGCAGCCTCTTTGATCTGGCGCATCCGCGGGGCTGGACACTGGCTCCACAGGGGCCCAGGCCCCTGCGGTCTCCAGCCATGGGACCGGGGCCAATTTGGGGTGTGGCCTGTGGGTTTTCTTGTGCATGCTCTGAAGCAGGCTGGGGTGGTTGTCGCGGGTGCCCCCTACCCCCTCTCAAGGCTATTGGCTTCACCGTGATCCTGGCCAGTCTCCCTACACCTGCCAGAGCCCACTGGTGCTCCTAATGGCTCCCCACGGAGTGGAAACACGTGAGCAGGGAGGGCAGGGAGCCTCGGCTATGCAGGGCGAGAGGTCCCACAAGGGGCTTTTGTCACCAGGAGGGAGGAGAAGGTCCCGTACCTGGGGGCACTGGTGCCGGGGGCTGGTGACCGGGGCTCCCGAGTCTCGGGTTTGCCCTGTGAACTCAGGGCCACTTGCTAAGGGTCCGCCAGGCAGCTGGGGAGCCGTTCCAGGGTGAGCGGGTCTGCGGCCTCGGGGGGGTCCTCAGAGGGACCTTAACTCGAGACAGGAGAGAGAGGTGGCTGTGAGCACACGCACACACGCACACACACGCACACACATGGAAAGCAGATAAAGTGGACTCCAGACACACATGCACCAAATCAGCGCCCCCACGCAGCCCGGTCTTCCAGAGTGTGTTGTAACAGATCCGCCCGAGCTGGTTAACGGTATTTGCGGTTTGCAAGATGCTACACGTCCCTGGAAAATGACAGACAAGTTATTATCACCTCTCCACGCTCCTCCTGCCCAAACCTGCCTGCGCCGGGCACCCAGCTGCTGAGGAGTGGGCGCGAGGAAATTAACAGCCACCGCGCCTCGCCCGCCACCCACCCGCCGCCCTTGTGCCCACTGCCCTGCTCAGCCCGGCCAGGCCTGGAGCTCCCAGCCCGGCCGGCCATGGTGGGCCGGGGCAGGGGGCTGGAGAAGGGCGTGGGGGGCAGGGTGCGTATGCCCAGCGTGTGGGCAAACCATTTCCTGCAAGCACAGGGGATACTCGCATCCCAGAGCGGCAAGTCCAGACGGCTCTGTGTCAACAGCCGAAGATAAATAAGATTTTATCGGCTCAGAATCTGTTGAAACACATCCATCTAGCGGTTCCGGGGAAGGAGAGGCAGGAGGGAGGGAGGGGCGGAGCGTCTCCACGTGACCTTGTCTACACTGCAGATGAGGACCCAGGAGTCCTCCTGCCCGGTGTCCTCAGCACCCAACCCCAAGGCCCAGGAGCCTAGGAAGAGGGGGCACCCAGCCTGTGAATGGGGGCTCAGGCCTGCCTCTGCGGGCTCCTACAGGTCACACCCTGCCCCGCCCTCCTCCCCCACAGCCTCCTGTCGCCGCCTGACGCTGCCAAGTGGGGGAGACCACGGGCGACTTGGCCGGTGCCTCCGTGGGGGCTGGCAGGTGGATGTGCCCGAGAGCCTCCGGAGCAGACAGCGCGGGCAGCATGGGGCTGGGGACCCACCGTGGGGAGTGGGGCCAGGCCCAAGGCTGGCCGTGGCCGCACCCGGGACGCAGAGGGAGGGAGGGGTGTTTCCTGTGACCCCTGCATCCCGGGCCCACTCGCGGACCGCCCAGGTGAGAACCTGCCCACCCCGGGCAGCTCCCTGCTTCCCGCCGGTTCACCTCCGGGAGAGGCTTCCGCCTGCGGGACTCCTAGTACCAGGGACAGCTCCCCGGCTCCGCCCGGGGGCGGGGTGACCACCGAGCGCTCCTCCTCCCTCTGACCGCGCCTCCGCCTCCGCACGTCCTGCGTTTTCCCGGACTCGGGTGGCGAGTCCAGGCCCCACAAGCCCCCCTGAGGACCCCACCCCACCTGGGTTCCGAGGAGACTGGTGTAGGGACCCGGGCCCGGCTGGGAGCTGCCCGGAGCCCCATCCTCACCCCCTTCTGTGGGCCCGGGAAGTGGGGCCCAGGCTTCTAAAGAGGTGGCCAGAGGGGCTGCAGGGGCTTTGACGTGGGGCCCCCACTGCTCAGACCTGGCCTCGGGGAGCTGCAGGGAGGGCTGAGGGCGGTGAACAGCTGCACTTTCAGCCTCTACTCCCCGTGGGAACTGGCCAGCAGCCACCGACCCCTGTCACTGCTGGCCACCCCCTCCAGCCACCTGGGCCTGGCCTGGGGGGACCTGATGACCCCATCTCAGGTCATGGTTCCCAGAACAAGGGGAGAGGATTAGCAGGGGCCTGTGGGTGGTCGGCCCAGAGAGGGGACTGCAGGCTCTCCGGGGACCCTCATTCTCTGCCAGGGTCCCCTGCATGTTCCTTTCCCAGCCAGGTGACCTCACTCACTAAACGGTCCCAGGGATGGGGCACCTGGGCAGGGCAAACCCCATGGACATCCAGTCCCATCAGATGAGGGCGCGAGGGGGCTGGTCCTGAGCCGGGTCCTGCTTCCCAGCCTTCTGGTTCCCAAGCCCCCTCAGACCCCACCCAGAGACAGGTCGGTATTTCGGGCTGGGGTTCAGGCGGGAAGAGACTGCTCGCTCTGCCAGGGCCCCGGGGCTGTGAGGGCGCTGGGGCCCCTTGCTCCTGGGCTCCAGCCCAACTCCATGCGCCCACTTGGACGTGCAGGAGGGGTGAGGCCAGAGGCGGTTCTGATGGCCAGTCGGAGTCTTATGTTTTGGGGCCCTGGTGTCAGGCCCCCAGCGTCCTTGACGAAGCTGGGCTGGGACCTGCTCTTTCCTTCCTGTGGCCTCAGTTTCCCCAATGGCACCATAGTGGGGCATGGTGGGTGCTCTCTGGGCCTTGTGGCTGGTGTGACAGCCTCTGAGGGCTTGTGGTAGCACAGGGCACAGGGGGACAGGAGGGACCCTGTGAATCTCAGACCTGGAATGTCCCCCACTGTCCCCGGGGAAAGGAGCACGAGGAGCCCTGGACTGGTCCCCTCCCAGGCGCTGGGAGGTCAGCCACCCTGGCAGGGACTGATTCTGTAGTTACCAGCATCACCTTTGAGCTCACGAGGGCCAGCCTGCGTCCTCAGGTGGGCGACTGAACCCCGAGGAGCTGTCTGCGGGGGCAGGAAGGGTAGCCCCTGGTTCTCCCTGGGGCTGGGGCCCGGGCTGAGGGTCCTGGGGCTTCAGGGTGGAAACCAAGCTGCAGGAATTATCTCCTCCGCCTCCATGTTCCAGGGTCTCCCTCCCAGAGCTTGAGTGCAGAGGGGCACCTGGCTTGTCCGAAGATTGCACCCCTTCCCTGCACAACTCCAGGCTTCTCAGACCCGGGAGTCCCTGCAGCAGCCCCTTCTCCCTTTCCTGGCCTTTTCTGACCTCCTCCAAAAAAGGGACACGATGGTCCCTACCTCTCCGGGGTGAGGCCCACAGAGAAAGCATCCAGGTCTGGCTGCGGTGGGCACCTGCAGCAGCGCCGTCGCCACGCCCAAGCAGCCAGCCCGGTGCCCCTGAGGGACAGGCACTTCGAGGGGAGGAGCCTGGAGCCATGCACGGGGTGGCTGTCCTCAGGAGCTTGGGGAGGGACTCCTAACTGCCCCGACGGGCGGGCGCTCCCAGAGGGCAGCACCGCAGTGAGGATGTGGAGCTGGGACTGTGGCCTCATGCCCGCTCCCTGCCCACCAGTACTCTCCACTGTTGAAGAAGCTGTACTGCCAAATCGCCAAGACGTGTCCCATCCAGATCAAGGTGTCCACCCCGCCGCCCCCGGGCACGGCCATCCGTGCCATGCCTGTCTACAAGAAGGCGGAGCACGTGACCGAGGTCGTGAAGCGCTGTCCCAACCACGAGCTCGGGCGGGACTTCAACGAAGGTGAGCCCCCAGCGCGGTGCCCGGGCCCGGGAGGGGCTGGGGCCCGAAGCGCAGGGCTGCTGGGCCTGGCACCCCACGGGCACCAGGGCTGCTGGCCGGTCTCCCCTGTGAGGCCCAGGGGGCCGGGCCCTGCACTCCCGAGTCTGCAGGATGTGCCTGGCACCGGGGTGGCAGATCCCGTGGGCACCTCGCTGAGGCGGCCTCCCCTCCTGGCAGGACAGTCTGCCCCGGCCAGCCACCTCATCCGCGTGGAGGGCAACAACCTCTCGCAGTACGTGGACGACCCCGTCACCGGCAGGCAGAGCGTCATGGTGCCCTACGAGCCCCCACAGGTAGGCCGGGCTGGGGGACAGGGCCCACAGTTAGCTGTAGGGTGGAGCCCGGGCAGAGACCCTCGAGTCTCCTCGGCAGGCAGATTCGGTTGGCCCATGTCCCTAAGCTAAACCCGTGCCATGGGGCTCCTTCCTCACCCTCAAGGCCCCTCCGCTGCCTCCTCCCTCCCCTTGGGCCCTCTCTGGACCTGGCCCCCCTCCACAGTGATGGGGTAACTAACGGCCCCTGATCTCAGCCCTCGCCTGTCCCTCTTCCTGCCTGTCTGCTCCCACACACGGGACTCAGGTGGAGGGGCTGAGGCCTGGGGTGGGAGGGCAGGGTGGGAGAGACCCACGGTCAGGGGTATGGTACGTGCAGGGCCTGGGGGTGAGGGGTGACTGCTGCAAGTGGGGGGCTGCAAGTGGGGGGAGTGGAGAGGCCCTGGGAGGCCAGACGCTGACCTGAGGCCGCAGAAGGTCTGGGAGGGCCAGTCTGAAGCTGACGTGGGGGCCCAGCTGGACTGAAGAGCGGGGGGTGGAGAGAAGTGGGGGTGGAGGGTCCCAGGGGTGCTGGTGGGGTGGGGCCGGGACAGGGGGTGGACAGTGAGCCCTGTTTTCCTCTACCTGGTTCTGAAACCACCCCCTCCACCCCATCTCTGTACCTGGCTTCCTGGGGCCCCCAGGCCTAAGAGCAGCCCTGATCTCAGTGGGCCCCGGGCCCAGGGTGGGGTGCGCTCCCCCTGCCGGCTCCCCCTTCACCTGGCCCCGCCTTCACCTGCCAGGGCTGGCCAAGAGAGTGGGGCTCTCCTGCCCCCTGCTGGCTGCCCTGTGAAAGGCTAGGTCTTCCTGAGCCAGTGACAGCTTCTCCGTGCTGCCCGAGCCCAGGACAACGCCCGCTTTGTGTTCTCTGTGTCCCCCCGTGGTCAGGAGTTAGGGTTCGCGTCTCGGGGCTCCACACACTCCCTGGGGCTGGGGTCTACTCCAATGGCTCTGGTCCCTCCCTCTGCCAGGGCAGGGTAGGGCGCCCTCGTGCCCCGGAAAGCCCACACCACGCAAACACACACCTGTGCCCATTCGCACCCAGCCTGCAGGACTTGACTTCCAACCTGTGTCAGGAGAGATGGTCAGGGCAACCAGGCCACAGCACTCTGTGCCGCCCGGGAGCAGAGGCCAGGTCTGAGCCTGCTTGGTACCCAGGGCCAGCACAGCACTTGACTCTGTGTGCCGTATGAATCAATAGATGCGTGGGTGGGTGGGTGGATGGATGGATGGACGGATGGATGGACAGATGAGTGGGTAGGTGGGTGGATAGATAAATGGATGGATGGATGGATGGATGAGTGGACGGATGATGGGATGAATAGATGGATAGATAGGTGGATGGATGGTGGGTGGATTAATGGATGGATGGATGATGGATAGATAGGTGGGTGGATTAATGGATGGATGATAGATAGATAGATAGATAGATAGATAGATAGATAGATGGATGGTGGGAGAATAGATGACAAAGGACCATAGAGCACACCTCATCCCCCCCATCCCAAGCCTACCCAGAGCCAGGGATGCTGCTTTGAAGGTCAGAAGCCCCCACCTTAGTGGGTTGGGGGCTGCATGCTATTACCACAGCCCTTGACCCATCTCCCCTGTGCAGGTGGGCACCGAGTTCACCACCATCCTATACAACTTCATGTGCAACAGCAGCTGCGTGGGGGGCATGAACCGCCGGCCCATCCTCATCATTATCACCTTGGAGACCCGGGAGTGAGTCTGCAGCCTGTGGAGCGGGGGGCATGGTGTGGAGACAGGGGGCCAAGGGCAAGGAGTAGTGTGGCCCTGGGTGGGGGGATAGTTCGGGAAGGGGCCCTGCAGAGGGTGCCGCGGGGAGGGTGGGACCTCCCCTGGCTGCAGGGGCTGCTGGAGCAGAGCTGGGCCTTGGGAGGGACCTGGTGTCCCAGAGCAGCTGGTCATTCGGTCAGGAGCCCTTGACCCATCCTGGTCCTGGGCGGGGAGGGCAGGCAGCGCCGGGGCCCTGAAGCTCACAATGCGGCTGATTCCTCAACAGCGGCCAGGTGCTGGGCCGCCGGTCCTTCGAGGGCCGCATCTGTGCCTGTCCTGGCCGAGACCGCAAGGCTGATGAGGACCACTACCGGGAGCAGCAGGCGCTGAACGAGAGTGCTGCCAAGAACGGAGGAGCCGCCAGCAAGCGTGGTGAGCGGCGTCAGTGGGGTGGGGTGCACAGGGCCAGCCTGCCGCTCCCCGCTGGACGGAGCAGGGCCTGCCTCAGGGGCTTGGGTGAGGTGCTGCAGGTGCTGTGACCCCGTGTCCAGGGCAGAGAGCCAACCCCACCCACATGGCCACCCCTGGGTCCAGCTCCAGCCAGCACGGGCGACAGCCAGGCTTCTGGTGGGCTCGCACGGCGGGGTGGGTGTCCGTCGGCTTTATCTCTATGGTCCCGCCCCCGCCCTGCCGCTCACAAAGCCTTTCCCCGCCTGGCCCTCCAGCCTTCAAGCAGAGCCCCCCGGCCATCCCCGCCCTGGGCACCGGTGTGAAGAAGAGACGGCAGGGGGACGAGGACACGTACTATATGCACGTGAGTGCCCCAGTCTGCAGAGCGAGGCCGGGCAGCCTGGGATGACACCCAGGGGCCACCAGGGGGCAAGAGAGCCTGTCACACCCTGAGAGCTGAGACCCCATGCTCTGCAGGTGGCAGGTCCATGAAGGGAGAGCCAGGTCCCACAGAGCCAGACCCCAGACAACCAGGTCCCAGACAACCAGATCTCAGACAGGGTCAGACCCCAGAGAGCCAGGTCCCAGACAGGGTCAGACCCCAGACAGCCGGGACCCAGACAGGGTCAGACCCCAGAGAGCCAGGTCCCAGACAGGGTCAGACCCCAGACAAGGCCAGACCCCAGACAGCCGGGACCCAGACAGGGTCAGACCCCAGAGAGCCAGGTCCCAGACAGGGTCAGACCCCAGACAACCAGATCTCAGACAGGGTCAGACCCCAGAGAGCCAGGTCCCAGACAGGGTCAGACCCCAGACAAGGCCAGACCCCAGACAGCCGGGACCCAGACAGGGTCAGACCCCAGAGAGCCAGACCCCAGACAGGGTTAGACCCCAGAGAGCCAGGTCCCAGACAGGGTCAGACCCCAGACAAGGCCAGACCCCAGACAGCCGGGACCCAGACAGGGTCAGACCCCAGAGAGCCAGGTCCCAGACAGGGTCAGACCCCAGACAACCAGATCTCAGACAGGGTCAGACCCCAGACAGCCAGGTCCCTGACAGGGTCAGACCCCAGACAGCCAGGTCCCAGACAGGGTCAGACCCCAGACAGCCAGGTCCCAGACAGGGTCAGACCCCAGAGAGCCAGACCAGACAGGCCAGACTGCAGGGAATCAGGGTCTGCATGATGCAACTCCGAGTGTAGATACAGTGTGTGGGGTGATGCAGATCCTGGGGTGGGGGCATCAGGAACCCTAGATTCCAGACTCTGGCAGGCTGCATCACTGTCACCCAAGTTTACTCGACGGTCACGTGATGTGGCCACTCCGGCCGGTAGAGCAAAGCACCACATGCCTGGCTGAGACTGGTTTTCTGTTACGTGGGCTCTTTATTTTTGAGTCAAGAAAGAGTCCCTTGTTCTAAAATCCCCTTTGTTGAGTTTTTTTGCCCCTGGACCCCGAGAGTACGGGACACTGGAGAGAGGAGGGGAAAGGCGGGGTGAAGACTCGGGGCAGGAAGGGGTGGGCACGGTTGCGGGGACAGGGAGCACCTGCGCACCTCCCGGGAAGGAGGGAAGAGGAGGCCCGAGGGTGCTGGGGAGCCCACGAAGCTGAGCCCAGGGTCCTCTGAGACTCCCACTGGGGGCTGGGCCGAGAGGAGCTCCTGTGCCCCTGGGCCGAGGTCTGCCTCCTGTGCTCAGGTGCGGGGCCGGGAGAACTTTGAGATCCTGATGAAGGTCAAGGAGAGTCTGGAGCTGATGGAGCTGGTGCCCCAGCAGGTGGTGGACTCCTACAGGCAGCAGCAGCAGCTCCTGCAGAGGCCGTGAGTGCGCATCTGCGGCCTTCGAACCACTTCGGTCCCCTCCTCCGGGAAGCCTTCCTGAACTGCAGTGGTCACGACCATCACTATGCTTTTCTGTCCCACAAATGTCCTCTGAGTGGAGGGGAAGGAGGAGTGGTTGGAGCAATGCACACCTCCCTCCTGCCCATCCCTGGGGGGCAGGGGGGGTCTGTGAGAGCAGGCCGGCTCAGGGTCAGGGTCCCCATCCCCCTGCAGCAGGGGCACCGTGTGGAGGTGACATGGGCAAGAAGCTGCCTGGGCGCGTACCCACACGGGCTGTCCCTTTCTGAGCAGAAACCACCTGCCGCCACCGTCCTACGGGCCAGTCCTCTCGCCCATGAACAAAATGCACGGGGGTGTCAACAAGCTGCCGTCCGTCAACCAGCTGGTGGGCCAGCCCCCCCCGCACAGCTCAGCCACAGGGCCCAACCTGGGGCCCATGGGTGAGTCATGTGGGCATTGGGGACCCAGGGTGCGCTGGGGAGGCCCAAAGGCTAGGCCTGGCTCCACACAGCTGCCTCCTCCAGGTGGCCCCTCCGCCCCCTCCTGCTCTAGCAGAGGGCTGTGCCCAGGCTCTGACAGTCGCACCCGCCCCGAGCAGGCCCTGGGATACTCAGCAACCACGGCCACACCCTGCAGGCCAACGGCGAGATGAACGGCAGCCACAGCTCCCAGTCCATGGTCCCAGGGTCCCACTGCACCCCACCGCCCCCCTACCACGCCGACCCCAGCCTGGTCAGGTACGTGGGCCCCTGCTGGGCTCTGCCACTCACCCACTCACTTCAGCCCCTTCGAGGCTCCCGGTCCCCTGGCCTGAGCCTGGGGACAGTCTGCCTGCTGCCCGGCCTGTCCGCGTGGCCGTCTCTGCATGTGGATAACTGACCGGGGCTGAGCGAATGACGGGAGCGGGTTTCCGACAAAAAGCTAGGGTTTCTTTGGAGACCGTGCCCCAGGTGAGCATGTCCGTGGTGCCGTGGCCACGTGGGCAGCGGTGGCCAGCAGGGTGGCCAGGAGTCACCCTTTAGGAGGACGTGCCCACCAGCCAGGCCAGTTCCTAGAAGTGAATGCAGTTTTATGGCGCGAATTCTCTCTGCAGTTTTTTAACAGGATTGGGGTGTCCCAACTGCATCGAGCATTTCACCTCTCAAGGCTTACAGAGCATTTACCACCTGCAGAACCTGACCATGGAGGTAACCGCCCAGCCCTCCCCGTGCACCCGCCTGCCGGGCCCTGGCGCTGGGCAGGGAGCTCTCGCCTCTTTCTGGGGTGGTGCTCTAGCCGGTCCTTATTCTCGAGGTTCGGGGAGCGGGCTGTGAAATTCGAGAAACCCTTTTCCCAAGCCCACTCCACGTCCCAGCCCTGGATTTTGGGCTCTGTCATAGGTGTAGGCAAGTCTGACTGGGCAGGCGGTGGGCCTGGGGGGACCCCATGTGGTCTGCGGCCCCAGCAGCCAGGCTGCCTTTGATTTGGGGGACTTGCTGTTTGAAAGGCACAGAGAGTTCGGGAAGGCAGAGGTCAGAGGGCCTCGGAGCTGGTCAGCCTCAGCACTACTCCCACGGGGAGGAGAGCTCCCCGGGGCGCCACGTGAGCCGTTCTGCCATGGGCACACGCCTTCTGTGTCCGCGCAGATGCCGGCCACCGAGTTTCTCCCCAGCCACCAAAGACTGAACCTCCGCTAGGGTGCCCGAGCCGGAAGGTGCCATTAGCCAAGGGAAGCGCAGGCTGTGGCCCCTGGAGACACAGCAGTGGCCTGGAACCCCTACTCCCTCCTCCGTGTCCCTACTCCCGGCCCAGAGCCCCTAGCCAGACATGTGCTTGTCAGGGAACTGGGGCCGTTCGCCCAGAAGGTGGCCATGTCAGCAGTCTGTGTGTCAGCAAATGTCCCTGGTGACCCCTGCTGGGCTGGCTCAGTGTTAACTCTCTCACCAGCATGATGTGTGTGTGCTTGGTGTGTGGGGGGGGCGGGGGGCAGGGATGGTGGATAGGATCCCTGTGATCAGCTCTGGTCTCAAGGGGCTGGGTAGAGGGGCTCCACTGGTCATTGTGCTTAAGGACAGGGTCCCAGGCCCCACAGAGCTCTGCAGGGACCACACACACACACACACACACACACACACACAAATGCACTAGCACACACCTCACTTCTCAGCTCTCCTGACCTCTCTCAGGGCCCCCTAAAATGGGTGTGTCCAGACCCGCTGCACAGGGTGCCCCCCACCATCGAGTCCTGCCGGTCAGGGGTTCCCTCCTGGTCCTGGGGGCTCTGCAGGAGCAGCGTGGTCCCCGGGCGGCCGTCCGCGGTGGGAGGGGAGGGCGCAGGGTCCTGGGCTGGGCTCTAACGGGGCTGCCGCTGCCGCAGGACCTGGGCGCCCTGAAGATCCCGGACCAGTACCGGAATGCCATCTGGAGGGGCCTGCAGGACCTGAAGCAGAGCCATGACTGTGGCGCGCAGCAGCTGATCCGCTCCAGCAGCAACGCCGCCACCATCTCCATCGGCGGCGCGGGCGAGCTGCAGCGGCAGCGCGTCATGGAGGCCGTGCACTTCCGCGTGCGCCACACCATCACCATCCCCAACCGCGGCCCGGGCGGGGCGGGGGGCGCGGCGCCCGACGAGTGGGCCGACTTCGGCTTCGACCTCCCGGACTGCAAGTCCCGGAGACAGCCCATCAAGGAGGAGTTCCCCGAGGGGGAGGCCAACTGACGGCGGAGGGCGCACGCGGCTGGGCGCGCGCGGACCGGAGCCACCAGACCACGGAGAGCCAGCGGAGCCTGGGCATCTGTGGCCTGGAGCCTGAGAGGCCTGGCTTTACCCCTTCCTTTCTGGCAAAAACTGCCCTGGGAGGCAGGACCTGGGCTGTGCCCGAGAAAAGGCCACGTGCAGCCGTCCGTGGACAGCGGGCCTGGTCAGCAGGGACTCCCGGAGATGCGCGGAGGGTGTGGAGAGGCGCAGCGCTGCCGGAACCAGCCAGCCTCCCTCCTCCCTGCCTCATCTTTCCTGGGGACTCTGCTGCTCCCACTCGAGATCCTTAAAAATAAAAGGAGCCTCTGTCCGTGGGCTGCCGAATGGTATTCTTCCTGTCCTCTGCACCTGGGTAGCGCCCAGCGGCTGGGTGGTTGTCTGAAACATTTCTTTGCAGGCCAGTGCTCCAGACTGTCTCTGCAAGGCTGGGTCCCTCCGGACCGGGCGTCAGCCCATCCCTGCCACTCCTGACTGCTAGTTCCAACCCCCTGCAGCTACCCTCCCCCACTGCCAGAGTGAGAGCCAGACTCTCTGCACTCGGAGGAGACTGGGAGGAGGGTGCTGCCGAGTCCACGGTCCCTCCTGGGCGGCGAGGGAACTTCCGGCCCTTGGCCACCAGCCAAGGCCGTGCCAACACCGCTGGCCACAGTCACCTCTCTTCGGCGACCATCTCAGCGGACAAGGAAGACGTGCTTCTCCGACAACTGGAAATTGTCAATATCTGATACAATGACGCCCTTTTGTACATTGCGGGGGTGGGGGGGTCGGCTTTTTTATAAAAACAACTCATTTTTAACATTCCCTTCAGGATTCCACCTAGGGGCACCCCAGGTCTACAGCCGGGCTAAGAAAGTGGAAGGGCACAGCAGGTGGGGTCCTGGTTTGGCTGGGTGGGGATGAAACCCAGATGGAGAGGCTGTGGGGGGCCTTGTGGTTGGGTGGGGAGCCCTCCCCTTAGTGACCCTGGCAAGTTGGCAGAGGAGCCCTGGGCGAGAGTCCCCCCCCCCCCAGTGGAGGGAGCAGGAGGCAGGCAGGTCCGCTCCTGGGGCTCGGAGTGGGCTCTGTGCTGGGAGAGGCTTCCTGTCTTCTGAGGGGTGGCGGGGTCTGGTCCTGCATGAGGCACCCCAGGAGTCGGTGGGCTTGGCAGAGACAGCTTCTCCATGCCTACCTGATGGGGCCATTGGGAGCCGGCTGCAGGGCAGGACACAGGAGACCGCAGAGAGCATGGGCAGTGGGGAAGGAGCCCCTAGTTCTAGGCGGGTGGGGTGGGGGACCCCGGCTAGTGCGCACCTGAGACACTGCCCCCTGGTGGCTGCCTGGCACTTTCCAATCAGCCGCTCCATCCCTTTGCCTCCCTTGGCCGGGTCCCTGTGTTCATCCTTCCATCTGGCTGCTCCTCTCAGTAATGTCGCCACAGGAGCAGGGGAAGCCCCCAGGCTGGGGGGTGATGGACACACAGCCCTGGTTTCCCTTGGGGTTTGCCGGTTGCTGTAAACCCCCAGCCCTCGCCCTTCTGTCTGGGCCGGGAGGGCCCTCTTCACGCTGTGCGCCCAGAGAAGCAGCCGGTCTCCTGCGGTTGGTTCAGAAGTGAGGCTCCAGCCCTTCCCACGTTGACGGGGGAGCAGGTGTTAAAATGCCAATGTCTCCCTTAGATCTCCAGGCTCTCAGGAAGGGCTGGCCTAAGGGGGGCGGGGTGAGGCGTTGCTGGGGAAGAGAGACCTCCAGCGGCCAGAACTGTCCTGGCCGGAGGGGACATGGCTACAGAGCCCCTCTGCCCCAAACCCTCCGCCAGGGGTGGGCGTCTCCAGACCAGACTTCACCACAGGAAGTCGTGAGCGGCGACCCTGCCAGTTGCGCTGGTGCCCGTGCCTGTGTCCAGGACGGTGGGCCCACCCTCCCCTCCACGTGGCTCCCAGGACCACGCATCAGGGGTGGCGTTGCCCTGGAGGCTCTGACTGGCACCAGGGATAAGAGCCTCGGGGTGGCAGAGCCAGCTGTGTCCGGCAGGTGCCAGGCTTTGCCAATTAGCTGGGGGCGCTCTGCAGTTTCCCCAGAATACACACCCCAGGGGAGGGGTACAGGCACCGCCGCACACTCCCCTGTGGGCTGCGCATGGGGCTTCCCCGTCTCGCTCTCACAGGGCGCAGGGCAGCTGTTCCTGCCATTGCACAGAGGGGTAAACTGAGGCGCGGGAGGCCTTTCTGGCAGCGAGGAGGTGGGAGGGATGCTGCTCACTAGGCTCTGAGGACACCTGCCGGCTGACAACCAGAGCGTGTCGGGCCCACGCCCTGGAGAGGTTTGGGTCAGCTACCTGATCTTGAGGTCCCTCTGCCCCCCAGCGCCCCGCCGTGCTGCCGGGAAGCCGGCACTCAGCAGGCTTGGTTGGCCGGCCGGCGGCCCAGGTCCCCGCATGCTGGGCTCCAGGACGCAGTGTAACTTGTCTCCTGGGACGTCCCCCAAGTGGGCGCATCTCTGTTCCATGGGTCGGGGTGCAGGGTGCCCCAAGGTTGGAGGAAATGCCCGATCTTTATGTAACGCGGTGCTTCTCCAGGTCGTGTTAATGGTTCGCTCCCAATGAGTCCCCCTTCGGGTCCTGTCCTCTCGGGGAGATGTGTTATTTTTGTAGCTGTGTTTGGTGGGAATTTTCGTTTTTGTAACATAATAAAGCACATGTCCCAGCGACCGTCTTTTCTGAGTCAATCAGTCCTGAAGGCAACATTCGCTCCTAGCAGGCGAGGGAGACCACGGCGCCCACACCGGCCTGGGTCACCCCGTTTGGGTTTCTCCCACGTTTTCAGTGAGGCGATGAACCCCAGCACCCTTCTCCCCCGTGCCTCAGAGCTGTGTGCTCAGCGTGCACTCGAGACACGAACGGCCGTGGGCGAGTCGGTCTGTCCGAGCAGAGCCAGCTAACCTCCAGGCACGGACCTCAGCCTCAGCCTGGCCACCCGGGCTTCCCGGGGGGGGGGGGGCGCGCCATGACCCCCTCCCACGTCTGTGAGGCCCGGGGTCTCCGCCTTAGAAAGGTCACCCGTGGCTTCTGTGGAGATCACCAGTGGAGCTGAAAATGGACGATGACAGAGAGCTCGCGTCCGCTCAGCCCAGGTGTGAGGACACACGACCCTCGTTTCTGTCTCCCCACGTCTCAGGCTCCTGGATTTTAGAACTGGGGACCTGCCCAGAAAAAAACTGGGCTCTCAAAATCCCTTCGACTTCGAGAGGCCGAGGCTTTTCAGACACCAGACTGAAACTGAGCGGAACAAGGTGCCCAGGACGAGGGCGAGAGCCGCTTCCCTGCGGTGGTCTGGAAGCGAGCACCCCTCCCCCTCCATCCCCCACGGGCTTGACCTCTCTTTGTGAACTTGGTCCCTGGCGCGCTGGGATCTCCTTGTCTGTCTCTGCACGGGATCCAGCAGCACAGGATGGGGACTTGGCTGCACTGGGAGCCGTGCCCCCCGCGGCAGGTGGGAGGTGACCATCTGCACATGGATTGAAACTCAATGCTGGCCGCTGAGGGGACATCTGCACCCTGTTCTGGAACCTCCCGCATGTTGGCCAAACACTCGGCCCTGAAGTCTCTCTCCTTGTCACACACTGACCCCCAACCGCAGAAGGGAAGCAGTAGCTGCCAGGTCTGTCACACTTTGGAAGGGCGCTTTGCTCCCGTGCCCCACCCTGCGGACACCAGCCAAGGCGGCCACATGTCCCCGCTCCCGTGTCCTGAAACCAACGCATGCAGCCTCCCGGCGCTGCGCCCTGGGGTTGGAGGCTTCCGAGAGCAGTCTCTGGTTGGCCTGCTTTGAGGGGACTGAGGGCCTTTTCATTTGGCCAGAAATGCTGAAAAGTGGCGGCAGAAACAAAGAGGTCCTCTGGGGGAGCCGGCGCTGGTGGCAGAGCTGGCCGCCCTGGGGGGACCAGGCAGCAGGGAGGAGGAGAGGGCTGCTGGGAGGTGGGGCTGCCGGAGACAGTGGGGGGCAGCTGAGGACTAGAGGCCCCAGCAAGCCCTGACAGAGGATGACAGGTCCGGCACACCACAAATGTGGGGAGACTCAGTGTCCCCAGCGCCCGAACCACCCCACCGACTGCTCACTCCAGGACGTCCCCAGCATGGGGTACCAGGAAGCTTCCAGTTTAACAAGAGGGACGAAGAGCTGGATTTACTCCCCAAGTTAACAAGCCACCAGCAGGTCCCGCTAAACTAGAGTAGGATGGGGCGGCCTGTCCACGCAGTGGGTAATCCCCTGCAGGACACAGGATCCTAAAGCCAGGCCCACCGGGATCTCAGGAAACAGTGGTGTCGAGCGGTGGGGTCCCGTCCAGGCTGGGGTGACACCTGAGAACCTGAGAACCGGGTCCGGAGGCCCTGCAGGGCGGGGCTCTGAAGGCAGGGCCTTGGGCTCTGGGTGGGGCGGGGCTCTGGGGGCGGGGCTTGAGGCTCGTAGTGGGGCGGGGCTCTGGGGGCGGGGCCCTGGGCTCAGGGTGGGGCGGGGCTCTGAGCTCGGGGTGGGGCGGGGCTCTGAGCTTGGGGTGGGGCGGGGCTTGAGGCTGGGGTGGGGCGGGGCTCTGGGGGCGGGGCTCTGGACTTGGGGTGGGGCGGGGCTCGAGGCTGGGGTGGGGCGGGGCTCTGGGGGCGGGGCTCTGGAGTCCAGTTAGTCTCTCTCCAGGTGCCAGCCTCCCCTACTGGGGCGGTTTCTCTGTGACTGTTGTGTCCTTGTGGGGCCTCTCCTGACACCGGATGTCCCTGACCCGAGCACCCTTGCACTTACTATTGCTGCCAGAAGGTAGTGTCATGGCTTGAACTGTGTCTCCCTAAAATTCGCTTCTTGAAGCCCTAACCCCCGGCACCTGGGAATGGGACCTCATTTGGAAATAGGGCCGTTGCAGATGTAATTGGTTAAGAGGAGGTCATACTGGAGTAGGCTGGGCCCTACTCCCATAAGACAGGTGACCTTATAAGAGGGGAAATTTGGACACAGACATGCACACAAGTAGAATGCCACGTGACGACAGGCAGAGATGGGTGATGCTTCTGCAAGCCAAGCAGCCACCAGGAGCTGGGGAGGCCCGGGGCGGGTTCTCCCTCACGGGCCCATTAGGAACCAGCCCCACCGACACCTCCATGCTCCAGAACGGGGAGAAGGGAACTCTGGTGTAAGCCCAGCCCTTGGTGTGTGTTACAGCTGCCCCCGGAACCAGCAGTGATATTCACCCTTAGGGATTCTGGTTGCTTCCAAGAGGTCTCACACTTTTGCCACCAGGAGGAACACTGGCCCCAAGTTCTGGCTTCTGCTGCTCTTTAAGCCAAGCTGACTTCCACCCCAGCAATGGCCTTGCTCCTGTGCTAGGACCACTTTCCTCCCAGTATTCCTTTTTGCCTCTGAGTCTGTCTACTCCAGGTCCTCATAGAAGTGGAATCATGCAGAATTTGTCCTTTTGAACCTGGCTTATTTCACTTAGCACAGTGTCCTCAAGATTCATTCACGTTGTAGCAGGCGTCAAACTCTCCTTCCTTTTAAAAGCTGAATCATTCCATTGTATGTGTATGTCTCATTCTGTGTATCCATCCATCCGTCCATCCACCCGTCCATCCATCCATGGACCCTTGGGTTGCTTCTACATTTTGGCGATTGTGAGTGACGCTGCCATTAAGATAGGTGTGCAAATATCTTCTCTCTCTTTTTAATCCCCTAACCAGAGTGATGGCCATCGTGTTTGGAATGCTACATCATCAAACAGCCAGTCCTTTAGTCCATCTCTTCAAACGATCGCTGGATCGCAGGTTCGGGGAGAGAAAGGTCCCAGTGGGTCTGAATTTTCACTGTATCCCAGCTGGGAGAGCTGAGCCGGGCACAGGAGAGACACGTGTGTCTGTTGGGAAAGGACACTGGTGGAAGGCTCGCTTGGCTTAGGAAAAGCATAGTGTGTTACGCACTTTACTGGTCTTGCATACCTGGCTGGTCAATTTTCACAAAAATAGCCTTCAAGAATGAAGGCAAAATAAACCTCTGTGTAGGAGGACCCCCACTGTAAGAGATGCTCCATGAAGCTTTGAGCTGAAGAGAAACGTGTAAGTGCAAAGGGCCGCTTCTCTTAACTGCTTTGAAATACTGTTCATGTGGGGCATTGTGGGTCAATGCAATACTAATGAAAACTACAGGTTTGTTTATTAAAAGTCACCACTTAAATTTTTTTTTTATTTTTTTATTTTTTTTAGAGAGAGAAGGGAGAGAGAGATAGAAGCATTGATGTGAGAGAAATACATCGATCGGCTGCCTCCTGCACGTCCCCCACTGGGGATCAAGCTCGCAACCTGGGCATGTGCCCTGATCAGGAATCGAACCAGGACCTCTCAGTCCGTGGGACGATGCTTCATCCACAGAGCCACACCGTGGACGACACTACATCCACAGAGCCACACCGTGGACGACACTACATCCACAGAGCCACACCATGGACGACACTACATCCACAGAGCCACACCGGCTGGGTTAAAAATCAGCATTTTATTTATTTTATTTATTTATTTATAATATGTTTTCTTGATTGATTTTAGAGAGAGAGGAAGGAAGAGGGAGAGATAGATAGAAACATTGATGAGAGAGAACATCGACTGGCCGCCTCCTGCATGCCCCCCACTGGGGATCGGGCCCACAACCTGGGCATGTGCCCTGACCGGGAATCGAACCGGCGACCTCTTGGTGCAGGGTCAGCGCTCAGCCGCTGAGCCACACCGGCCGGGCTACAAATCTCCATTTAAAGTGCAGTCAGAGGCATGCAGCACACCAGCAGTGTCGTGCTCCCATCACCACTGTCTAGTCGCAGAAATTTCCTCCCACTCCAGGGAGCCGGTCCCAAGCTCACTCCCCGCCCCCAGCCACTGGTGAGCTCCGTCTCTGTGGATCTGCTGTTCTGAACATTTCATACTCATGATCGCACGATGGGGCCTCTTATGCCTGTTTGTCTTTTTGTTTCTTTCACTGCAGTTTGGAAACCACGAAGCAGCTGTAAAGAAACTTTTCAGGCAGCAGCCGGGACGCGGAGACTCGCCGAGGCCGCTCCATAAAGTCCTTGGCCAGCCCGAGGCCTGTGCGTCCGGGTGTCTGGCACAGTGAGGTTTAACAAAATCACAATGAGCGATTTTCTAGAGGACGTGTCTCCCCTTTCCACCCCCCAATTCTATATTTTTAGAAAGAATTACCTGCCTGGCTGGTGTGGCTCAGTGGCTGAGCGTGGACCCATGCACCAAGAGGTCGCCGGTTCGATTCCCAGTCAGGGCACATGCCCAGGTTGTGGGCCCGATCCCCAGTGGGGAGCATGCAGGAGGCAGCCAATCCATGTTCTCTCTCATCGATGTTTCTCTCTCTCTCTCCTTCTCCCTTCCTCTCTGTCTAAAACCAATAAAAGAAAAAAGAAATTAAAAAGAAAAAAAAAAGAATTACCATATCAGGTGTTAAGAGATGCTTCTAAATTGTGAATTTTAACCCAGGACGTCTAATTTCATACCAGAGCCACTGACCCAATGTCAGGTTTTTTGAAAGCAGCATAGCCCGGCCGGTGTGGCTCAGTGGACTGTCATCCCATGGGGCGTGCCGGAGGCAGCAATGGATGTTTCTCTCTCTCTCCCTTTCTCTCGCTCTCTACAAAATAAATAAAAACACATTTTAAAACATGGAAATAGTCATAAAAAAGGTAAAATACTGATGATGGAACAGGAAAACAAAGCAAACGGAAGATGCCTGCCGTCGCCTCAGGCCGCTACTCTGCGCGCAGAACACCCTGAGGTCCAGCAGAAGTCGCTTCAGAGCCCCTGTCCAGGAGACAATGAAGACGAGGCTCAGGAAATTAAGAGGAATGGCCTGCTCTGTTTCCATGGAGACATCTGTGATGCCACAGCCTGCTCCCAGGATCCGAGGATGTGTGCCGGGCGTTGGGTCCACACGGGGGCTGTGCCCCCGATGCCCTGCTCCGGAGTCAGAAGCCCACAAGAGCCTTGCTCTAAGTCACCCTCCAGGTGGCAAGCTTGGCCCCCACCCCCCTCTCCTGATGTTGCCTCTGGGGCCCAGAAGTCCCCCAAAGCCGAATGTCTTTCCCAAGTTGATGGAGAATGGCCTGAAGGCCCTGCGGAGCGTGGCCAGCCGGAACTGCCAGACCCCGGAGGGGAAACTGCGCCCCAAACAGCGGTCCCTCAGCAAGTCGGCACAGGCCATCTGCTCGTACTACAGGAGGAAGGTACGGGGAGGGGGCTGGAGGCCCGGGCGGCTGCCCACGGAGCTCCCCAGTAAGTTTGATGATGGGGAGAAGATGCTGCATTGGCCTGAGCCTTCCTTAGGGGCGTCTTGAAAAGGAGCAAAGGGGGACGAGGAGAAGCTGGGAGGAGAACCCTCAGGGATCATGCGTCTGCCACGTGCCAGGGAGACCGGAGCCCCCAGCCCCCGGCGTTCTAAGTGGACGGGCACCTAGGCTCAGCCGCTGCAGTTCTAGAGCGGGGTCCGCCCGCGTGGCTCCGGGGACAAGGCCCTGGCAACGTGGGGCCTTTTCTCTGCGTGACTGTCCTCTCCCCACCGTGCAGAGTGAGTTCAGGCCGGATGCCAGCCCCAAAGAAAGGACTTTCGTGTCGGAAGTGGAGGAGCTGCGGAAGATGTTCCTCAGGCGTCCCGGCTGCCCGCAGTTCTGCACGCGGGCCACGTCCATGTCCAGCTACGGTGAGAGCCACCGCCAAGGGCCCGGCAGTCCGCTGCTCCTGAAAGCACGGTGCCCGCCCCTGGTGTGGAACGAAGGGGGCGGGAGGGAAGGACACCTGCCCAGGCTGTGATCCTCCATCCCCGGCCGCTTGCTTCTGTCTGTCTCAGAGACGCAGTAGGGTTGGGGCGGGAGAGAGGGAGAAGGTTGACGATGCTGGAAGCTTCGGGAGAGAGGTCCAGAAGGCCGAAGGGAGCTGATTGGGAAGCCACCCCTGTGGAATGCGGGAGGGCGGAGGACAGCCGGCTCCAGGTGGCCCTCCGAGGAGCTAAGCGCACGTGTTCTGAGGCTCAGGGAGGACAGCTAAGGCACACAGTGGCCGCAGGGGGGCACCGGTCCAGCCAGGCCTCACCCAGACCTGCCAGCTGCCGGTCCTGGGCTGGTCCCGTGGCCCACACACAGGGTGATGATAACGGTGAAGCCTTCAGCCGCGGGGACCGCACCCACCCTGCAGGTCTAAGCTGTCTCCGTAGGGCCGGGCCTCGGAGAGCATGACTTGGGGGCAGGTTCCGGGAAGGGTTGAGGGGCCCCCGTCCTGGGTGCAGGGTCTGTGCCTGCAGGTGATCCCAGGGCTCTGCCGATGGTACGATTCCTGAGGCTTAGAGGAGATGGTCTGTCCCAGGGCTGGGGGCTCTGTGAGGCGGAAGGGGGGCCATTTTTACAGGCGGGAACGGGGGAGGAGACGCAGCCATGTTTGAATGGCTCCTCGGGGTTCAGCCCTGAGAAAGGTCACCTTTAACCCTACCTGTGTATAAAGAGATGACATAAAAACTGCTGCCCCGGGCGTCTGAGGAAGACGCCCGCCATCGTCAGCCGCCCGGTTGCCCCCTGCAGGTCTGGCTTCCACCATCGCGTTGCCCGAGGTGTGCCTGGGCTCTGAGGCCTGGAAGACGGCCGAGGACGCGCTGTCCAGCCGGCAAGGCTCGAAGGCGGACGGTGAGGGCAGCCCCTGAGGGCCTGGGTCCTCTCCTCGGCACCCAGCCCTGAGAGCCTCTGCCTGCACCTGCTGGGCTGCTGCTCCCCCAGGAGAGGCCCCTTCCCAGGACCACCTGCCCGGCCACCTCCCTGCGCAGGGCCCCTGGGACGCATCCCTCCTCGAGGCCAGAGACCAGTACGCACTGTCCCCACAAATACCCTCGCTTCGGTTCCCCAACGATGAAATCCACACCTGGGCCTGAATGCGAGGGGCCCCTGCAGGGCCCAGGGCCGCCTGTGCGCGGGCTGCACCAGGATGACCGTGTCGTCCTGACTCCGGGCTCTGGGACCCTCCCGGGCCCTGTGCCTCCCTCCACTTCGTCAGCAGACACACTGGGCTGGTGTGGGGGATGGACAGCAGGTGGGACCCAGAGACACGGAGGCAGGGTCTCTGCGGGGTCTGGAAAGGGGGACGGTAACATGGAAGACGCCAGGACCGCCCTGACTCCTCTGCCCCTTGACAGGGCCCTGTCTTCCCTTCAGTAAGAGCGCCTGCGAGTTCCACTACTTGCGGAAGACGAGCGAGCCCCAGCCGTGGAGCCCGGGCACCAGCAGCCCAGTCCTGGGGCAAAGCCACCTGAGGAAGCGGATACCCTGGTACATCTCGGTCATCCATGAAAAGGTACCGCCGAGCGCAGGCCCTGGGCAGGGATCCGGGTCCCCACGCCCCAGCTCTGCGTCCTGCTGGAGAGGCAGCCCCTGCCCCCCCTGAGCCTCTGTCCTAGAATCTGGTCAGCTGTGCCCGCAGGGCCCCAGGCCCCTCCTCTGGCCTCTGGGAATCAGACGCTCTACAAACCTCCAGCCCAGAGGGTGGCGCTCTGAGCCGCAGCGGGTCTCACCAACCTGCACGCAGAGGCCAACAGGCATCAGGACCTTTGACCAGCTGAACAACCTCGGCCCAGTCATTCCGCTTGGGAGAATGTGCTCTTAGAAGCAGTAGCAATGCCCTGGCCGGTGTGGCTCACCGGTTAGAGCATCAGCCCACAGACCAGAGAGTCCTGGGCTCAGTTCCCACTAAGGGCACGTACCTCAGTTGCAGTTTGTCCCCACCCCGTTTGGGGTCGTGTGGGTGGCAATCACTCTGTGTCTCTCTCACATTGATGTTTCTCTCTCTCTCTTCCTCCCTCTTTCCTTCCCCCTGTATCTGAAGATAAATGCAAAAATGTCCTCGGGTAAGGATAAAAAATAAAATAGAAGAAACAGTAGCAGTGCCCTGGCCAGTATGGCTTAGCGGTTAGAGCATTGGCCCGAGGACCAAAGAGTCACGGGTTCAATTTTAGTCAAGGGCATGTACCTCGGTTGCAGTTCAGTCCCGGGCCCTGGTCAGGGTTGAGTGGGAAGCAACCAATCGGTGTGTCTATCTCACATCGATGTCTCTCTGTCCCCCCCACCCTCCACTCCTACTCTATCTGAAGATAAGTGGAAAAATATCCTTGGGTGAAGATTAAAAAAAAAAAAAGAAACAGTAGCAGTCACCTGTAACAATGTGTCAAGGTGGACCTGCGAGGTGGTTTCTGTGTCTTCTCCCTGCACCTGTGCTTCTGAGGGTGAGTGGCCACTAGTCATCCACCCAGTAACTCCTGTGTTTGATTTGGGTGTCAGTTATTTTGACCTCGTAACCAAAAAAAGTTGGGATGCATTTCCGGTGTGTCCTTTTCTGTTCTCTGAAAGAGTGTGCGTAAGACTAGAGCTTCTTTGTTCAATTCTGAAACTCGCCGTTGAGGTCATCTGTGTTTGCGGGTGTCTTACAGGGTCGGTTCCCAAAACAACACATTCCATTCCTTTAAAGATACTCAGATTTCCCTCTTTCTCTTGCTTTGTTTGGGTAAGTGCTGTCTTTCTAGAAATGCGTTCATTTCGTGTACATTTTCAGATGTATGAACCTAACCCTGTGCATAATAATTTCTCGCTGTCCTCCCCATCCCTGCGGGGGTTCTGCGGGAGGAAGGCTCTCTGTGGACATCGCTAGTCACCCTTCTCTCCCCTTCTCTCCATCTGCCTCGCTCGAAGTTTATGGATGTTAATGGTCTTAGGATCAGCGTCTGTTCTGTTTTTTAAGGCGCTGAAGCTTAGTGACAATGACTGACGTGAGTAACACAAAACCTTGGGTAGTTAGCGGGTCCACAGTGGGGACTGACCAGGTCTGATAGTGAGGGTCCATGCGGACTAATTTCATGTCGAGTCCCTATATTCTGCCTCTATTTTTATTTTTTAATCCGCACTCAAAGATATTTTTTTCATTTTTTTTTTTTTTTATCCTCACCCGAGGATATTTTTCCATTTTTTGTACAGATAGAGCGGGAGGGAGAGAGAGGAAGGGAGAGAGAGAGAGAAACATCGATGTGAAGGGACACATCGAGTGGCTGCCACCCGCACGACCAACCAGGGCCGGGGACAAACTGCAACCGAAGTACGTGCCCTTAGCGGGAACCGAACCCGGGTCTCTCCGGACCGCAGGCCGACGCTCTAACCGCTGAGCCAAACTGGCCAGGGCTTTATTTTTTAATCCGCACTCAAAGATATTTTTTTCATTGGTTTTTAGAGAGAGTAGAAGGGAGGAAATGACGGAGGGATGAGAGAGAGAGAGAGAGAGAAATATCAATCTGAGAGAGACACATTGATTGGTTGCCTCCCTCATGCACCCAACTGCAGCTGGGGATCAAACCTGCAACCCAGGTATATGCCCTTGACCAGGAATTGAACCCAAGACCCTTTGGTGCGTAAGCCAGCACTCTGTCACTGAGCCACACCGGCCAGGGCTCTGCTGGTGTGATAGATTTCACAATTTAAAAAGTGTTGAGCCCTGCTGGTTTGGCTCCGCAGTTAGAGCGTCGGCCCGCGGTCCAGAGAGACCCAGGTTTGGTTCCCACTAAGGGCACGTACCTCGGTTGCAGTTTGTCCCCGGCCCCGGTTGGGGTCATGTGGGTGGCAGCCAGTCGATGTGTCTTTCTCACGTTGATGTTTCTCTCTCTCTCTTCCTCCCTCTCTCCTCTTGCTCTGTCTGAAGATAAATGCAAAACTGTCCTTGGGTGAGGATAAAAAAAATAAAAATAAATAAAGAGTGTGGATGCCCTTTGACCCGGCAATTCCACTTGGGGGAAATGGCCTGAGGATATAATGAGATAGCGTCACACAGATATAGTATAAAGGATGTTCTTTGCAGTGCTGTTCACTATTCAAACTGCAGGAACAAAATGATCAGCTCATGTATGTGAACAGCCAGGGGACGGGCTGCAGACGTGGCTGCCTCCAGGAGCTCAAACAGTACCCTCAGTTTTCTCCCCTTTTCTCTGCATTCTTCTGAGCTGTCACAGGTGAACCCATCTCCTCCAGAGGCAAGACAGCCACCTGCAGCCATACATGTGTGTTGTGCAAACTCAGCAACCCCAGCAGACATGAACACCTCCTTACCAGTAATCACTGTCTGCTTTGGGACATGTGCACATGTCTATGTCACCACGGCCAGTGTGAAGACATATGATTTCTGCATGACTATGTTTACCTCTAACCTAAAGTACAAATAGTTCTCACGTACCCTTTAGATTATCCAAATGGTCAAATGTTGCCATATTTACTCTGTCCTCTCCTTCCCCTCTCTCTTCCTCACTATATCATTCATTCTTGTACTTGTCTGTACTATTCCCCTTCTTCTTTGTTCTTTAAGTTGAATTTGCGGTTCTTTTTCTGAATTCTAGAGATAGATACTTACATAATTGTTTTCCATTGTTTTCTCTGATAGATGCATTTTAAGGCTATACATTTGTCCTTAATTACTGCTTTAGCTGCACTCCACCAGTCCCAATATGTTCAAATATGTATTATTGTTCAGTTTAAAATATTTTCTAGCTTCCTTTGTGACTTCTTTGACTCATGGGTTGTATGGAAGTCTATCACGTCATTTCCAAACATTAGAGGACTTTCTAGTTACCTTTCCTTCCAGAGTTCTGTCTGGGACCATCTCCCTTCTGCCTGAAGAATTCTCTTTAGTTTCTCTAAGTTCAGATCTGCTGGAGAAAATGTCTTTCTGTTTCTGGTGTGTCCAAAAAGAACCCCATCTGTATTGTGTCTCCAATTTTGAAGAATCTAGGGCATTAAGGTGTTGAGAATGGAAGGCCGGGAGGCAGAAGGCCCCCGGTTGGCCCTCAGAGGGAGTTACTGGTTCGGTGTGGGGTTGCACAGAAGTCCTCAGTCACAGTGGGCAGCTGGCCAGGAGCCAAGCTGAAGTGGAGGCTGCCAATGATCTCCCAGGACCAGGATTTCAGACCTGCCTAAGTCAGGGCGTGGCTGCAGTAAAGAGGCACACATCCTGGGCTTGGGATTTCAGGATCCCAGGAGAGGTCTGCTCCTCCTGGGTCCACAGCTGCTGTCCTGCTGGTGGCTGGAGGGCGTGAGGAAGAGTGTGATTGTGTGTTACCCTGGCCAGTGTTGGTCAGGGGCGTGCACCTGGGTTTCAGGTTCAACCCCTGGCCCCAGTTGGGGTGCTTGTTGGAGGCAGTCAATCAATGTGTCTCTCTCACATCGATGTTTCTCTCTCTCTCTCTCTCTCTCTCCCCCCCCCCCTTCCTTCCCTCTCTCCCTCCCTTCCACTATCTAAAAAATAAAAAAAAATAAAAACAATGGGAAAACTACCCCTGGGTAAGGATTAGCAGCGATGACAAGAAGGGTGTGGCTGTGTGCACACGGGTCTGCCGCTGTGTTCTGCCCAGGACCACTGCCTGTCCCTGCTGGGGGAGGAAGTCCAGCGCCTCTCCAAGCTGGAGGTGCAGGTGCAGCAGAAGGACGAGGAGATCTTGGCGCTGCAGGAGGAGAGGGAGACCCTGAAGAAGCAGCTGAACTACCTCCTCAGACGCAAAGGCCAGGAGATCATGTACCAGGGCACGAAGGTGAGCCGAGCGTGGGGGCCAGGCGGGCCTGGTGAGCCACACACTCTGCTTCCACGGCGTCCAGTCCTCCTGGTGACCCTCAGCACCCTCGCCCCCGCCCCGAGTCACCCTGGACGGTTGCTGGGTCCTCGTGGGAGCTCGGGCGGGGCTGGACAGCGCCCTGCGCTCTGCCGCCCCTCGCTCTCTCCCTGGGACAGCCGTGCGCTCTCTGGACTCAGTTTCCCTACCTGTGAGTTTCCCTACCCGCTTTTTTGTCATCAGGAAGGAAGGTGCCCTGCAGGCGGAGTCCCCAGACCTGGCCTGGCCGTGTCCCGAGGGCAGCAGTGACATGGACTAGCCTGACCTGTTCTGACTGTGGGACCTGGAGCATCAGTGTCCCTCCTGTCAGACAGCCTTGGGGATGCTGCCCCTCGCCAGGTCTGGGCAGGGGACTGACCCAGGCAGGTCCAGGTGGGGTCCAGGGGCAGCTCTGCAGGTCCCAGGGAGCAGCCTTCGGTCTTGCTAAGACCTCTTTTTCTTTCATGCCCGAGGGTACAGCCCAATTTTATGCTGGGGGCGCGCACGAGGGGAAAGAGGGGTGTTTCAGGCCATCGCTGAATCCCACGGATGTCTCCAAAGACAACTGCCCGGACGCTGCCTGTGGGGCGGCTGGTGGGCAGCGGGAGGCCCAGAAGCACTGCCCAGCCCCCCAAGGCCGTGGGCGAGCTGGAAGTGGTCAGAGAGCAGGGCAGGGATGCGCATGGAAGGTGAGCACGTCCACAGCTGGACCCTCGACTCTTCCAAATGACCGGGCTCACAGCAGCCAAGCCACTGCTCCAGGGCCGCCACCTGCCGGTCCCTGGCCTGGCCTGCTGCCGTGGAGACGGCCGTCAGCCTCCCAGGAGGGCAGGTCCCCGCGGTGCATCCAAGTGGGAAACCCTGAGGCCCAGGCGGTGTCTTGCAGGAGCAGCCCTCTGAGTTCCTGCCGAAGACACAGGGCAGGCTCAGCATCCTGAAAACCTTCAGCCGGGAGGAGGAGGAGCTGCAGCGCTGGCGGCAGGTGCGCTGGCCAGGCCCGGGCCCTCCGGTCACCCTGTCAGGGAAGGAGTGAGGGGGCAGGCAGCTCCCACCTGGAAACGCAGCTCCCGCCCCTGCCCTGGGGAGCTGGTCCCTGGCAGGTCCCCAGGCTGCGAGGCTGCGCTGTCTGGGCTGGGGAGGTGGCAAGTACCCGGCGTGCCCCTGTCCCCACGCCGCCCCGGCACTCACAGCCCTGCCGTGTCCCCTTGCGTCGCAGATGCAGGAGGGGCTGGTCGTGACGGACAGAGCCAGGGACCTGGACGGCCACGGCGAGGAGGAGGAGGGCCGGGAAGTGGAGGCGGAGAGGGCAGATCCGGCTGCGGGCAGGAAGGAGGCCGAGGGCGAGCGGGCGGAGGACAGTGAGGAGGTGGGGCTGGAGCTGGACTCGGAAGAGGAGGCGCTGGCGGAGGAGGAGGCCAGCAGGAGAAACACCTGCCTCCTGGACGAGGCCTTCGAGGAGGAGCTGATGGCGCAGCTGGAGGAGTACGAGCAGGTGATCCAACAGTTCCAGTTCGAGCTCGAGATCACCAGGACCAGGTGCTCCCTGGCAACAGGTAGCTGGCACGGGGCGTGGAGGCGGAGCCAGCCCCCAGGCTGGGCAGCGGGGACGTGCAGGCAGGACAGGCCGGGGTCCACCCCGTTCCTCTGAGCTGGGAGCCCGGCGGGGAAGGGCGGGAGGGAGCCGAAGAGGTGGTGCTGGAGCTGGACGGCGGGGGGCAGTCCGAGCCCTCCAGCTGAGGGGTGACCCCAGCCCGCGCCTTCCCTGCTCACTCAGGGGCCTGCATATCGTTACAACGGCAAGTGGACTACCAGGAGTCCCAGCTGCAGAAGGCCCACAGGGAAAACGAGCTGCTGCAGAAGGAGCTGTGGGAGCGGAAGTGTCAGATTCAGGCCATGAGTGACAAGGTGGCCGCACCCTTCACCCCGGCGGGCCCCCCACGGCCGCACTGGGCCCCCCAGCAGCTCCGGAGGGGATGCCGAACTTAGGGAGCAGAAGGGCCTCTCCCAGTGTCACATGGCTCACAGAGGCAGAGTGGACCACACACCAGGCCCCAAGGCCCCTCGCTGCCCTCCGGCCCCAGCAGTCACGCTGTCTCCTGGGCCTGTCGGCTCCTGGCCACTTCTCAAGCACCTCCTGGCCCCTGAATCCCAGGGGTGAGGGCCCCACCCACGCTTAGAGAGGTCGCCACTCTGCAGAGCCCACTCCTTGTGAAGCATTTTTTTTTTTTTAATCCTCACCCGAGGACATTTTTCACATTTTTCCATTTTTTGTACAGATAGAGTGGGAGGGAGAGAGAGAGAGAGAAACATCGATGTGAAAGGGACACATCGAGTGGCTGCCACCTGCACGACCAACCAGGGCCGGGGACAAACTGCAACCGAGGTACATGCCCTTAGCGGGAACCGAACCCGGGTCTCTCCGGACCGCAGGCCAACGCTCTAACCGCTGAGCCAAACTGGCCAGGGCAGTGAAGCATTTTTAATCTTTATCTTTACAGGAATTTTCCACTCACATAGCTTAAAGAACCAGGTGCCACAGTCTTGTGACACAAAACAGGAGTGTCCTGCCCTCCTCCCTCTCATGTGTCCCTTCCCCAAGGCAACCACTTTCACCTCTTCTGTTCATTGGGAATCAGATAGCAGGCTTACGTACCAGCCTAGAGCTTCCTCCATCTTAGCGTTACCTAATGCTTCCCTCTGTCGTCCATGCCCCTCCCAAAGCCATTCCCGCAATGTCACTGAGCTGACACTGCATTTGCCCCTTGGGGACGGGTATTGGTAGCACGCGCGCCATGGAAACACGTTTGTGAAACACTATTACAATTCAAAAACCACGCGTCACAACATCTTCCTCTTTCTCGATCTGCCCTTATTTTCTCTGGAGCACACCCTGCAGTGTTTCTTTGAGAAAAGATGAGCGGGGGTCAGGTTTGGAGGATGCCTCCATGTCTTTACTCTGTGCATTGCCGTTTGCTTGGACACAGAATTCCAGTGGGGAAAGTGTCCCCTTGGCAGGGCGACAGCACTGTTCCCTGGCTCCCAGATTCCGGGGGTGCCGGTGGGAAGCCCAAGGTCACCTTACTTTCTGTGCTTTCCCACACCTTAGTTCCTGGTGGTGGCCACTTCCTCTCTAGAAAGGTGGACGGTCCTGCCTGTGTCCCAGGTGTTCTGAAATCCTGAAGTTGCGCCTCATCCAGGGTCTACTTTCATTGCCCCAGGCACTCGGGGCGAGTGGAAACTTGTGTCCATCCTTTCATTCTGGAAATTTCTGTTCACATTGTAGTTTTGGTGTTTTTTTGTTCACATTGTTTTTTATCTTCTCCCCTCTTTTTTTATTTTTAATTTTAAACTTATCATTATTGTTGAATGTATTACAGATGTCCCCCCTTTTTGTATCCCATTGACCCCCCTTACGGCCCCCCCTCCTGCCTTCCCCACACTATTGTCTGTGTCCATCGGTTATGCATATACGTGCTTTGGTTTGTCTCTTCCCGCTGGCCCTCTTCCCTCTGAGGTTGGTCAGTCTAACCACCAATCTGTACTTCTTAATCCCTTCACCTTGTTCACCCAGCCCCCCAGCCCCCTCCCGTCTGGCAACCAACAAAAAGTTCTCTGTATCTATGAGTCTGTTTCTGTTCTGCTTGCTCATCTTGTTTGTAGATTCAGTTGTTGATAGATATGTGTTTATTGTCATTTTATTGTTCATATATTTTTGTTCTTCTTTTTTTCTTCTCCTTCTTCTCCTTCCTCTTCCTCTTCTTCCCTCCTCCTCCTCCTCCTCCTCCTCCTCCTCCTCGAAGGCCCATGAACATTTCCTATAGCACTGGTTTGGTGGTGATGAACTCCTTGAGCTTTTTCCTGCCTGGGAACCTCTTGATAAGGCCACCGCTTCTGAACGATGGCTTTGCAAGATGGAGGCATGCCCCTGACTTCCCCGCAGCACTCCTGAGGCTGGATTTGTGATGAGGGTCACGGCGGCCCTTCCGTCCTCTGGAGGCTCCTTCTTCGAAGCACACTTTCTGTCCCCCATTCAGTACCGTCTCTCTCCCCAGCGAGGGTGTTCATGACCGGCCTGGTTTCCACCTTCTCGCACCGTTTCGGTCGCTTTGACTTCTGTCCTCACGCGAGAACGTGGCTCCAGGGTCAGAGCGCGTGGTGGCTCCGTGTGGGCATTGCAACCGAGAGCTCAAAGGCAGAATTTTGGGGTCTTTCCTCTTGGTCGGGTCAGATTCCCCCGGAATCTAGGAAACTGGAGGGATTTCGTGCCTGGGGCGGGAAGGCCCCACGGCAGTGCTCTGGAATGCAGTGGGGAAGGAGTGCGCGGTCCCCACCTTCAGCACCGATGTCCCCCCCTGGAGTCTGGGGTCTCCACCCCCAACGGGGCCTGGCATCGCCCAGACCAGCCACCCCTGTAGGAGCCCTGACACCCAGGCCCCTGCGGGTGGGAAAGGGGCGGGCGTCTGGCAGCTCTAGTCTGGGAATGTTTTTGAAACTACATCCCTCCAAGCTCCTCCTCGAAGCCCCTAGCCCCTGAAAGAGCCGACTCCTCCCATTTCTGAGCCGGTCAGGGACCCCGGAGTGTGAACGGGCTTGTTCTCGGCTCTTCCTGCTGCCGCCTCAGGGCTCCGCGTTCTGGGACCCGCTTTGTAGCCCTGGTGTTGGGTACCCTCCTCTCCCACCCTCCCGAGGCTCAGGGGGGGACAGAGCCACTGTGGCCCCCGCCCGCTGTCTGCCCTGGAGACCTGAGCAGCCTCCGCTGCCTTTCAGTTCTCCAACCTCCAGGAAGAAAAGAAGCAAACCGAGATGATGGGGCTCATCGAGAAGGACAACCTCCTCCTCCGACAGGTGACCGAGGGCTGGGAGAGCCGGCCGGTCATTTCAAGCAGCGCCCCATTCGACACACCCAGGAGCGCACGGGCACAGGGGCCCCGGGTCCTCGCTGGGTTCAGAGTTGGAACTCGGAGACGGGCGGCTCTCTTTGGGGGTTGTGGGGTGGGCACACCTGGGCCTACCCCTCTGTCCCCCTGCCCCGCCCCCAGCAAGTGTGGGAGCTGGAGCGTGAACTCACGAAGCGGGAACACACCATCGCCGAGTCGGAGGCCAAGGTCAGCCAGCTGCAGGCCCAGGTGGACCAGGGCCAGGACCACCTGCAGAGATGGAAGCAGCTGCAGGAGGAGGCGCAGGACAAGGTGGAGCTGGTCCAGCAGGCGGAGCAGCAGGCCCGCGTGGCCCTGGAGAGCGCCCAGTCCAGGGTGTGCCCCGCCCCAGGGCCCTGTGCAGCAGCGGGTCCCAGAGCCCCACCTGGGGTCCCAGAGGGAGCCACCAGGGCTTCCTGAAATGCCCAAAGGGAGAGCTGAGCTGGGGCACAGGACGGGGGTCGGTCAGGGAGTCTCCCTGGCGGCAGGAACGGGAAGCTTCTTCAGGAGGGAGGGTGGTGTTGGGGTGTTCTGACTTCCTATGCTTTTTTTTCTTCTTTTTTTTTTACTTTTTCCATTAAAAAGGTTGGTGAGGTAGAGAGTCCTTGGTGTTAGGCTGCCCGGGTCTTATTTTCCAGACGTTGACCCCCCCAGCCCCGCCCCCACCCCCACCCTCCGTCCCTGGTTCCAAAGCGGCGAAGCACCAAGGATCCCACTTTCTGTGAACGGATCAGGTGGCGGGTGGGTCCCCCCTGGGTGCCCCCCCCCCCAGGATGGGCGCTGCCGCCCTCCGGCAGAGGCCAGTGATGGGATCTTCCCTTGGCTGCAGCTTGAAAGACTGAGGAACAAGATCATCCAAGCCACCTTCAGCACCTCAGGGATCAAGTCCTTGGCCACCGAGATCTCTGATAACGACATTCTGGAAGGCTTGCAGGTGCCTCCTGTCCTGGGGCCTCACTCATCCGCAGCCTGGGGCGGAGGGCGGGCCTGGACTGGGTGCTGGGGAGGGCGCGGCTTGTCCTGGCAGAGTCACTGTCCTGTGACCCAGTACTGTCCCTCCTCTGCTCAGGCAGAAGGGACCAGCCCTAGAACTGGGGAGGCCAGGCTGCTCGCAGTGTGGGGTGACCACTAGCCGGTGCCAACGCTCCCGGGTCCCTGGGAGGGCCGAGCGCAGGGCTCCTGCAGTGATTCAAGCAGGAGCCCGGCCCCCGCTCTGCCCAGCTCAGCCTCCTCAGGATGCTGCCTAGCACCTCAGTGCAGTCGCCGTCTGCTGAGCCAGGGCCCTGGCATGGACCCCCTTCCACGGCTTTGGCCCGTGCCCGTCCCTCACCTTCCCCAAGCAGAGGGCTCGGAGGGGCAGGGCTGGGCCAGCAATGGCGTCACCATCCGCCTGGCCTGTGGCGGAGAAGCTGTGAGCTGGTCCCTTGCCTTTGCTGAGCGGCAGGGCGTCCTCTCTGCACGGGAGAGCACCTGCCTTCCCCGGGCAAGAGCTGACTCAAGCTCTGGACGGCGCACTTGTCACTGGAGCCGCTGCCACCCCCGGCCCCTCTGCCAGCTGAGCAGGTGCCGTGGCCTCGCTCCCACATTTCCCTGGGACCTGGTTCCTTTCCTCTGGGAACCGGATGGGCCCCCAGGGAATGGTGCTCCTCCAAGGTGGCAACCGGCCTCAGGGGACAGGGGCGCCTGCGCAGGGGGGCCTGGGGAGAGGTCTCTGTGGCCTGGCTACTGTTTGGGCTAAGTAAGAGGGAGCAGGGAGAGAGGAGAGGAAGGAATAAGAGGAGGGAGGCAGAAAGAGAAAGGGTGAGGAAGAGGAAATGGGAGGGAAGGAGGGTGGGAGGAGAGGGATGAATGGGAAGGGCCACCAGCACCACCCGGAGCCAGGAAGAACTTTCCGTGGTCAGCGGCCCAGAGGGGGCGGAGGGAGGGGAGGGGACAGCTCCCTGTGCAGGACGGCCGAGGCCCTGGCGGTCTCTGAGCCGCCAGCTGCAGACGGTGCTGCCCGAGTCCACGGTGGGCTTCTCTTCCTGGACCAGCCACCAGGGAGGGTGTTTCCAGCTCAGAAACAGGCAAACGCTACACAGCAGAGCTTCCCCACTCCCGCTGTACACACTGGCCGGCCCAGCAGGGCTGCGCAGCCCTCCGGGGGCAGGACGGGGTCCCTGTGGGCGTGTGGCCTGGCAGCCCGGATGGCCTTCCTTTTCCAGAGACTCATCTCAGAGAGGTCCGACTACTACAATCAGCTGAAGTACAAAGGGGTCAAAATGCCTCCCCTGCAGCAACTGGAGATTCTCTCCACCCTGACCAAGTCCAAGAAGGCGGTCTCCTCCAAGTAGGCCCCGCCCCGCGGCGACCAGGACCCCGCTCGGCAGCTGCCCGAGTGGCCCGGCTTTTGCAGATTCAGAATTAAACCCTGTTGTTGGCCTCACTTTTCTCCCAGGGCACTCGGATGGGGTCTGGGCTTCAGTGACACCCCCCTGTACAAAACACACTCTTTGGGGCTCAGCACACCAGCCTGCATTGCGGGCTCCATCCTGGAGACACCCCACATTGAGCAGGGGCTCCAGATTTAGGAGGCCCACCCACCACATTCCATGTTGACCCCACAGGGGTCCTTCTGTTGTAGGCGGTTGAAAGGGTACCAGGCGTTAGACTAGTGGGGTTACACTGGACTGGGGTTCAGCAACCTCCGTACTCGAGTTCTGGCTAGGAAAGAATTCGGAGCCAAGACTCAAACTAGCAGAGAACATTTATTTGGAAAATCACAGAGGTAGGAGAGAGAATCTGTAGAAGAAATGGGCTCAGGAAGCAAGTTGTAGAGATCAAGAAAGGCCCTTAGAGCTTGGGAGTGAGGAAGGTCATGGTCAGGCGCCAGGGGGAAGGGAGAGGGGGAGGAAAAGGCACATGCTCCTGGGAGGGAGAGCAAGCTGGGTCCTAGTCCTAAGTTTTAAGGGTGGAGATTTTAGGGGACGTCTCTGGGGAACAGCTCAATAGACTATTCAGCTCAATAGACTTTCTGGCTGTGTCCTTCGGGGTCTTGGTCTCCACTGATTGGTTGGTCAGCACCATGGCAGAGGGTCATTAGGGAGCGCAGCTGGTCCTGAGGTCAGCCATGGGGGAGTTCGTCTCCTTTGGGCTGGAGCAGAAACACAACTGAGGCCTAGATGTCATCTCCAGGGAGGAAGGGTCAGAAGGGCCAAACCACATGAACAGCCATATGCTAGGGGAGGGAAGGTCACCCTACAACTGCCCTTTCCTAGGCACCCAGGGTTTCCACCCTGGTGACCTTCTACACCTGGCCCATCGTCCTTGTTTGCTTCGCCCATGGCTGACTAACTGCCCACCACATCACCCCCACCTCAAGGATTTGGGCTCTGAATTCCTTCAGACAAAAGGGGCCCTGGATCGCTTCTGTAGCTGCTTCCTGCTGAATTAGGGCGAAGTTTTCCTTCAGAGCCCAGAGATCCTTGCTCTCTGTCAGAGGGATGAGGAGGCCCGGGCAGGCGAGGGGTGGTGAGGGTGTCTAGAGGTGGTATTCCCTCAGCACCACTAGGGCTTGTAACCTGGTGGAGATAAGCTGTGTTACAAATCTTAGTACTATTGGTGCAAAAGCTAAAACAAGAATTAGGAGAGTCTAGTGGAAAGAAAAAAACAAAAACAAAACATACCTCCAAGGGGCTCTTACTGGCTTCAAAGTCAATGTTCATTCCTTAAGGCAGTGGTTCTCAACCTGTGGGTCGTGACCATCTTTGGGGGTCGAACGACCCTTTCACAGGGGTCGCCTAAGACATAATAGTAGCAAAAGTACAGTTATGAAGTAGCAACAAAAGTAATTTTATGGTTGGGGGTCACCACAACATGAGGAACTGCACTACAGGGTCACGGCATTAGGAAGGTTGAGAACCACTGGTAAGGCTTTCTGGTGACATCCAGAGTCCAGGCATGCCTCTCTCAGACATGACACTCCAGCCAAAGTCTGGTGACATCCAGAGTTCAGGCATGCCTCTCTCAGACATGACACTCCAGCCAAAGTCTGGTGACATCCAGAGTCCAGGCATGCCTCTCTCAGACATGACATTCCAGCCAAAGCCTTGGGTAATAAAACCACAATTGGAAACTGGTTTCATGTGTCCTGTTATAAAGGAATCAGACTCTTATTAGATTTATGCAAATAAATATATTGCCATGAAAATAATACTTGAGTTTTCGAATTCTGGAGAGATTGGGTATGGAGAAAAATAAAATTTACCAAATTGCTTTAAAAAATAAGTCTAAAGCAAGAGGAAAATCCTCATCCTTTTAACAAAGTGGAAACAAACCAAACTCTGTGTTAGCTTACTTTTGATTTTTAAGTTCATTCACTTAACTTCTAGAAACTTAAAAGTGTCAGTGTGTTTGTGGCAAACACACTCACACTTTTAAAAGACATATTTCTAATAAAGTATAAGACATTTGCTAAAAACTCCACATCTATTTTTAAAGCTGTTTTGTAATAAAAGGCCCAAAGTAGGTGAATTTAAGACTTGTCTAGAAATCAGTGTTTAACAACTGAAATGAGTTCGATTTGCTTAAATGTGTTTTTTTTCCTTTCAATAAGGATTACCACCCAGAAACATACACTTTAAAAGATGGCCCAGGTAATATTTGGTGGGGTTTGAATTGTTTTTGGAGACACACCTCTGACCCTGTAAAGACTTCATTGGTAAAGCAAGGACAGTCATTTTTAATACCTCAAGGACTGGCCCGTGTTGGTAGAAGACTGACAAATTCATTCATCCACCCTTAGAATGTTTCTTTTTTTCTTATTTTTTTTTATTACATGTTTTCCTTTTTTACCCCACTGACACCCTCCTCCCCATTCCCCCCACTCTGTCCCCGGCTTTGTTGTCCATGTCCATTGGTTATGCGTACATGCATATAACTTCTGTGGTTTATCTCTTCCCTCTCCCTACCACCCCCTCTTCTGAGGGTTGTCAGTCTGTACCCTACTTTCACATCTCTGGGTCTACCCTATTCCTCATACTGTTATGTTCATTATATTCCACAAATAAGTGAGATCATGTGGTATTTGTCTTTTTCTGCTTGGCTTGTTTCACATAGGATAATACTTTCCAGGTCCCTTTATGTCGTCTCAAAGGATAATAGATCTTTCTTTCTTACAGCTGCATAGTACTCCATTGTGTGTATGTACCACAGCCTTTTTATCCATTCATCTACTGATGGACACTTGGGCTGTTTCCAGATCTTAGCTATTGTAAATGGTGCTGCTATGAACATAGGGGTGCATATATCCTTTCTGATTGGTGTTTCAGGCTTCTTAGGGTATTAATTTTTTGAGGTAACACCATAGTGTTTTCCTTAGTGGCTGCACCAGTCTGCTTTCCCACCAGCAGTGTACTAGAGTCCCCTTTTCTCCACACCCTCGCCAACACTTGTTGTTTGATGATTTGTTGATGGCAGCCATTCTGACAGGTGTGAGGTGATACCTCATTGTTTTAATTTGCATCTCTCTGATCATTAGTGATGTCGAGAATTTCTTCATATGTCTCTTGGCCATTTGTATGTCCTGTTTGGAGAGGTGTCTATTCAGCTCCTCTGCCCATTTTTTAATTGGGTTCTTTGTCTTCCTTTTGTTGAGTTGTATGAGCACTCTATATATTTTGGAAATTAACCCCTTAACTGATGTATCATTGACAGTGATGCTCTCCTGTACAGTGGGTTGCCTTTCCATTTTGATGGTGGTTTCTTTTGCTGTGCAGAAGCTTTTTAGTTTGATGTAGTCCCATGTGTTCATTTTTTCCTTTGTTTCTGTTGCCTTAGGTGATGTATCAGTAAAAATTCTGCTGTGTATGATGTCCAAAATTTTGTTGACTACATTTTCTTCTAGGATTTTTATAGATTTATGAGTTACATTTAAGTTCTTTATCTATTTTGAGTTTATTCTTGTGTATGGTGTAAGTTGATGGTCTAGTTTCTTTTTTTTTTTTTTTGCATGTAGCTGTCCAATTTTCCCAACACCATTTATTAAAGAGGCTGTCTTTACTCCATTGTATGCTCTTGCCTCCTTTGTCAAATATTAATTGAGCATAATGTCTTGGGTCCATTTCTGGGTTCTCTGTTCTGTTCCACTGGTCTATATGCCTGTTCTTGTGCCAGTACCAGACTGTTTTGATTACAGTAGCTTTGTAGTATAACCTGATATCTGGTATTGTGATCTCACCTACTTTGTCCTTCTTTTTCAAGATTGCTGTGGCTATTCAGGGTCTTTTTTGGTTCCATATGAAGTTTTGAAGTATTTGTTCTACTTCTGTGAAATATGTCATTGGTATTTTGATGGGGATTGCATTGAATCTATAAATTGCTTTGGGTAATATGGACATTTTAATGATGTTAATTCTTTCAATTCATAAACAAGGTATATGCTTCCACTTTTTATATCTTCCTCTATTTCTTTTTTCAATGTCCTGTAGTTTTCAGCAAATAGGTCCTTTACTTCTTTGGTTAAGTTTATTCCTAGGTATCTTAATTTTTTTGCCGCAATGGCAAATGGGATTGTTTTTTCAGTTTCTTTTTCTATGAGTTCATCATTGGTGTATAAGAATGCCATCAATTTCTTGATGTTAATTTTGTATCCTGCTACTTTGCCAAATTCATTTATTAAGTCTAGTAGATTTTTGATGGAGTCTTTAGGGTTTTCTATGTCATGTCATCTGCAAATAATGACAGTTTCATTTCCTCCTTTCCAATTTGGATCCCTTTTATTTTTTCTTCATGTGTGATTGCTGTGGCTAAGACTTCCAGTACTATGTTAAATAAGAGTGGCCAAAGTGGGCATCCCTGTCTTGTTCCTGTTCTTAAGGGAAATGCTTTTAGTTTCTGCCCATTGAGTATGATGTTGGCTGTAGGTCTTTCATATATGGCCTTTATTATGTTGAGATATCCCTCTATTCCCACATTGCTGAGCGTTTTTATCAGAAATGGATGCTGGATTTTGTCGAATGCTTTTTCAGCATCTATTGATATGATCATGTGGTTTTTATTCTTCATTTTATTTATGTGGTGTATCAAATTTATTGATTTGCGAATATTGTACCAGCCTTGCATCCCTGGGATGAATCTCACTTGGTCATTGTGAATAGTTTTTTTGAGTATTGCTGGATCCGATTTGCTAGTATTTTGTTCAGGATTTTGGCGTCTATGTTCATCAGGGGTATTGGCCTATTTGGAAGTCTTCCTTCTTGAATTTTTTGAAATAGTTTGAGGAGAATGGGTGTTAGTTCTTTTTGGAATGTTCGGTAAAACTCCCCTGTGAAGCCATCCGGGCCTTGCTTT